AAAAAAAAAAAAAAAAAAAAGAGTACTAATGAAAGAATATTCGTTTGAATAAATTTTTGTTCATTTGATCATATGAATTAACTGAGCAGAGAAAGTACATTCTTACTCAGCTAGTATTTGTTGAATTCAGTTCCCTTTGTTTTGGGGGGTTGTCAGAAATCGAGCTGAGGACCTTGCATTTGCCAGGCAGGGACTTATGCTGCTGAGCTATATTCCCTGCCCCTGAATTCAATTCTTCTCAAATCTAACCAATACACATTGAATACGTATTTTAATAGGACCAAAGGGATTGTAAGTCAAACTTAAAAGATTATTCTTAACTACAGCAAATGGCAAACAGGTTCTACTATGTAGCAGTTTCCTAAAAATTAAAGGAAATCCAAGAACATCTTAAAGATCAGTGGAAAATATTAGTCAGAAATATCCAAGCAGTCTACTATTAAGAGTAGAATAATTTTGCCACTGTTATTCCTAAGTTTTTTGACCTTTTAAAGGATTTCATATTTAATGAATATTCATTGAATACTTGTTATTTTGCTAGATACCAAAATATAATTTCAGATGTGAACCCTATTTTTCTGCTGATAAAAGAGATGAATTGTACAAGATACAAATAGGTTTTAGATCTTCATAGAAAATTATTATCTTCAAGTGTTTCACCTAAAATGTTTCTTCAAATTTTTGTTTTTGGGTTTTTTTGTGTTTTTGAGACAGGGTCTCACTCTGCAGTTCAGGCTGGCCTTGAGCTCACTTTGTAGCCCAAGCTGGTCTCAAATTCACAGCAATCCTCCTGCCTCAGCCTCCTGAGTACTGGGATTACAGACATGCACCACCACACCTGGCTTTCTTCACATTCTTAATTTATCTAATGTGTTCTAGTTTTCTGTATATAGGTCTTGTAAATTCTGTGGTGAGACTTATCACTATTCTATATTTTAATACTCATAACAGATGTGTTTTGTTTTTGTTTGTTACCATAAAGTGAAAGTATAGTTATTCTTCAATAAACATTTCTAATTTTTTTTTAAAAAAAGATACACAATAGGAAGTGGAAAGTGAAAGATCAGCTGAAAGATTGTTTTGGTCTTGGACTGTTGGGAAGGAGACTTACTTTATCAGGGTTGTTCAAGGCCAACATTTATTTTAGAAGGTGATAAGTGCAGTCCTCTTTTGCCAGATAGCTTGGGCAGAGGGGAAGAGATAGGGAACCCTAGGTTGAAAGGGGGCTTAAAATCCTGCTAGAGTACAGTTTCGAGTATTTCAGGTCAGGAGCTAGAAGAAGACATGACAAGAGAGTTTCTTGGGTTTCCAAACTAAGGTAAGTACCTAGGTCATCAGAGGCCTTTGTAGAGCCTGGAGCAGCAGAGGTAGTATTTGTGTCTAAGTATTAAAAACTGACGTGGAAGAGACATGCAACAGGTGTGCCAGCTATATGTTTATGGGATGTGAAATGAGGGTAAGGGGGACTGAACTGTAGCAGTGAATGAGAAACTGAGGGGAGAGAGATGTAAGTCCTTAATAGTTTCCCCTTTCGGAAGCCCAAATCCGTGACATTTCCACTACATTCTCCCTCAAAGTAGCATAGCTGTTTTAACTTTTATGGGGGGAGACAGTCTCCCTTTGTAGTTCAAGATAGCCCTGAACTTACTGTGTAGCCCAGGCTCAAACTCTCAGCAGTCCTCCTGCCTCAGTCTTGCAAGTGGTGGAATTCTGGGTGTGTGCCACCACAGCCAGCTTGACACTTCTGTAGTTTTAGGATTATGCTTTTCAAGTGGTGTCCTGAATCTGTTAGCCTAGAGGTTCTTTTGTTTTGTTGTTTTGTTTTGTTTGTTTTCCCGTACCAGGAATCGAACTCACGACCTTGCGCTTGTCAGGCAGGCGCTGTGCCGCTGAGCTAAATCCCCAGCCCTGCCTAGAGGTTCTTGAAGGCACAAAATGAACATAGCAAGACAGGAGTCCGCAAGACTTCAAAAAAATTCTGTGCTTAAGCAGTACCCTCAACCTTCTCTCTGCACAAGAGTACCTCCCTCCACTGCACAGGGAGCTTCAGTAAAATAGTTGGGAAGACTAACACGGGTGCTCCATGGGTGAACATGGGCAGGCGGTAGATGGAGAGTGACTGCCTACTAGAAAGAGCTGCTGAGATGAGGACTCAGTAAGTGAGCCTGACTAACACAGAGGTATTATTACACACTATAAAGAGCACACCCTGGGAGGCTGAGAAAGACCATCAGGAGTCCAGGCCCAGCCTCGGCAGCTTACTCAGCAAGAGCCTGTCTCAAAATAAAAATTTAAAAAAGGGCTGGGGATGTGGCTGAGTGTGGGGCCCCGGATTCAGTCCCTAGTACTACAAAAATTGTTAGCCTCCTGGAATTCTTACAGGAATTTTGTTTTACCTCTCTGACAAGAATAAAATTGTTAAAAGATGATGGTGTCAGGCTGGGCTCCACTCTTGTACTTAAAGCTGTCTGCAGCACCTCGCATCTGACAGTAGGGGCCCCCTTGCTAATACAGTCCAGACTGAAACCCAGTGCCTGTAGTGTGCTAGAAAAATACAGGATTCAGTTCGTCTTCGTCTTCTCAAACTGATTAAAATTGCCTAATTGTACTTGAAACTTGACGATTTGTACTCTACTTTTATTTAAGGATCCCCTTTTCTTTATCATGTATCTTTCAGACAATTGGTGCAACTTTCGCAGCCATGATTGGAGCTGGAATGCTAGTACGATCCATACCATATGAACAGCATCCAGGCCAAAAGCATCTTGCCTGGTTGCTCCATTCTGGTATGTTCTAAATTGTTGTGGGACCACTTCCAGAACTGCCCATTTTAAGTGACTCTTGACAAGTGTAAACACGGTTTTCCACAGTAGTTACTAGTTGCCTTATTGTCAGCCCTTTACTTTGAAAGATTGTTGATTCTAAGACCATAGACATCTTGGAAATAGAGCTTGTCTGCTTGTAACAGTGTCAGGTAAGTAGAGATTGACTGAAGTGTGTTTTGTTTGATATCAGGAGGATGTCAGATCCGATACATGTCACTTAAGAGTTGCTTAACTCATCGAAATCCTAATAGTAATGTCATATGTAGAATTCCTTTTTCCAATATCTTTCTTATGAGTATCATGAATTTTTAAGTTAATCACCCTCATGAAGTAGAAGAAAACAGAAATGTTAAGAAACCTAAATAGTGAAAAAACAAACGAGAAAAAACTCAACCCGACAGAATAAGGAAAGCCAATCAAAGATAAAAATAAAATTCCTCTGATGTCCACAGTTTTACAGTAGCATCCAGGTTGGATCCCAGAAATGTGCTGTTTAATCCCGCCAAGTTTGCAGTGGGATTTGTGCTGGGTGGGGGGCTGACCTTGGCTGTGGATGTGGGGCTGGGACTGGTCTTCAGGGGACAGCATTCTGGACGTCCACTTCTCCTTACCCTGATTGTCTCTAAGGCGCTTTCCCAGTTGCCTTGCACCCTCGGTTAGGAAGAGCCCAAGGTTGCCCCCAGCCCATGTACAGTGGGCTCCTTCCGTACCCTGCCCAGTTTCCTCTGTTCTACACCCCTGAGTCCTCATACACACTGGTCATTGGGAGGTGCCCTTGTCCCGCTGCAGGCCACAGCTGTGTGCCTGCTTATGTGGCTGTGCCAGGACCACTCTGCTGGTCTCAGACCAGGGGTGTGCCCAGTCCTTGGTTTTTAGGGCTAAGACTGGCCTGTGGTGGCCACCAGAGTGGAGTCTAGGTGGCCCCAGCTCCTGCCTCTGAGCAGAGTTCCCCTTAGTTTGCTCCCACCTGCTGGCAGTCTACTGTGACTAGATGGCTCTTCCCTTGTTACACTCTGGGACACTGGCAGTGAAGCAATCTGGACTGTTCTGCTGTTGGAGTTTGCCCCACTCCTTTTGAAGTAAAATCCGTGGCCCCGCCTGCCCAGTTCTGTTCTGTGTATCTGTGTCCCAGAGCACAGCACCAGTTCACCTTGCTTACCCACCACTGGCTCCTATTTTCACTGCTGCTTCTGACTCTGCTGTGGGCCGGCTGGGCCCACCTGCAGCATGCCCGTACTGAGCTTATTACTTCCTCTGGAAATGTACTGATACTGAAGATTCAGGATGACAGTAGCTCTGTGCCTGTTCTGTGAGACTGTTTGAGAAAAGGTAATTTGTTCTGCTTAGCACTGAAGTAGGGCCTTCTCCAAAGTTTTTTTCCTGTTAAAGAGCTCATTTACTTTTGCTAATTAGTGATTTCTCTACGATGATTCTTACTAAGATGTTTAAAAAACACAACTGAAATTTGTGAGCTGTGATAGTATTCCCTATCACACAGAGTAACAACAGTGTCTGTCAGGAATCCCCTACATTTCCAGGTTACCATCGTTTGTTTTTCCTCTCATTTTACTTTATTCCCTATTGGCAGCAGTAGGTTTGACCTAGAAATTTTTTTGTTTTTTGTTTTGTAAGCCTTTTTACCTGGATTCTTCCATGTTATAAAAACATAGAATTTTACAGTTACTGAAAATGTAGATTAGTGAGTTAAAACCAAAACTAGGGATATATTAATATTGCCATACAAAATTTGGATGGCTCCAGCTTTGGTTATGAAATACAGAGTATAGTATTATCAAAAGGAAAAACTTCTTAGGATCACAGCGCATAGCAGTGCAGTACAGCAGGTTAGGGGAGCATGTTGGAAGTGGTGTGTTCCCTTTGGTTGTTACTTTTGAATGCTTACCAGGGATGTGCCCTTCCCCAGGTGTGATGGGTGCGGTGGTGGCACCTCTGACCATATTGGGTGGCCCTCTCCTCGTCAGAGCCGCTTGGTACACGGCTGGCATCGTGGGCGGCCTGTCCACCGTGGCCATGTGTGCACCCAGTGAGAAGTTTCTGAACATGGGAGCACCCCTGGGCGTGGGCCTAGGTCTCGTTTTTGCAGCATCACTCGGTAAGCCACTGTGCCTTTGACACAGTCCTTGATTTTCTGTGCGAGTCATGTTTAAAGTTGTCTAGAAGAGATATGCTAATTTGGTTGGCTTTTGTCATTTGACCGCTCATAAATCTTGGCATACGGCCAACCATTGTTGCTGGTTTTACAGATATATCTAAAATGGTCTGGAGAACATGGGAAATGCCGTGGTGCAAGAACCTTCCTGTAATGTGGCATGCATACCACCTGTTCTGAACTGTTGTAAATAGGGTTGCAGCCTATAATCCTCAAGTGTCTTATTGTTTGCATGGTACACCAAAGAGATTTGGTTTTTGGGGGCAGGGAGGAGGTTTGAGATAGGGTTTCACTAGATAATTTAGGCTGGCCCTGAACTCTCAGCAGTCCTCCTGCCTCAGCCTCCCAAGTGCTGAGATTATAGGCATGTTTCAGCACCGCCTGGTCCAAAGAGGTTTCTAGGTAGTGTAAATTACAAATCTAGTTAGTTATAGGAAATTCTTTTTTAAAAAGGACACAGAAACTTACTTTTTTTCCTGATTTTGGTTTCAGGATCGATGTTTATTCCACCTACCACTGTGGCTGGTTCTGCTATGTACACAGTGGCAGTGTATGGTGGATTAGTTCTTTTCAGCATGTTCCTTCTTCATGATACTCAGAGAGTAATCAAACGCGCAGAAATAACACCAATGTATGGAGTTCAAAAGTATGATCCCATCAATTCGTAAGTAGCCCTTTTATCTGTTATTCTTGTGTAAGTATATTTGTTTCCCATGGTCATAATAAAGCACCACAGGGGCTGGGGATTTAGCTCAGCGGCCAAAAGCGCCTGCCTGGCAAGCGCAAGGTCATGAGTTCGGTTCCCGGTACCGGAGAAAAAAAACCAAAAAAAACCAAAAAACTAAAGCACCACAAACAAGGTGGCTCAGGTCAACAAGAATTTATTGTCTTTAAGTTCTGGAGGCTAGAAGTACGGCCCAGGTTGGTCCTTCTGAGAGAATCTTGTTCTGTGTTGCTCTCTTCACTCATTGTTCCCTCTGACAGTCCGTGGTAGTCCCTGTCTCATAGATGTATCACCCCAGTCTCTGCTTCTGACTTTACCTTCCATTCTCCCTGTGCATCTGTCTGTCTCCTCTTCTCTCCATTGTTTTTGTTTTTGAGACTGGGTCTCGCTAGGCAGTGCAGGATGGCCTTGAACTTGCTTATGTAGCCCAGGCTGGCCTCATGGTGATCCTCCTGCCTCAGCCTCCCAAGTGCTGGGATTACAGGCATGTGCTACCTTGCATGCCCAGCTTCCTCTCATTTTCTTATGCAATCACCAGTAACACTGAAGTAAAGGCCCACTGTGTTCTAATACAGCCTCATCCTAACTTGCATCTTAATCACATCTTCCAATGCCATATCTGTAAATAAAGTCACATTCACAGGTACCAGTTTTAGGACTGCACATGAGTTTGTGGGGGCACAAGTCAGCCTACAGCAGTAGCTTTGTTGAATTTTACTATTTTGTTTCTATTGCAGTTTGATTCTCTCACTTTATAGTAAACTATATACTTGTATATCCAGAAAAACCTCTGATTATACTACAGCCAAGTAGAACATTTAGGTATTCATTCACTATAAAGGTTCTGCACTATTTATTGGATAATGTGCATAATTGACCAACTTCTTAGAAAAAAAGAAAAAGTCTCTCATTTCTAAGAATTACAAATACTTCTGTATGAAGATTCCATCTTAGTGATATTCAGCTTTAATTGAACTGTTGTTTCTCCTCTAGGATTCTACCAAAATTGTTCTTTTTAAAGTTTTCTAACATTTCATGATACTATCACGTTTTTAAGTAATTTATGTTTCTTAATCTAAAAATAAAAGCCAATGTTATGATTTGAAAAATGTTATTGTAAAGCTTAGATTTGTAGCACAAACTGGGCAAATTATATTTTGAAATCCAGACTGTCTTAACAAGTTTTTGGGGGTTTTTTTTGGTTGGTTTTTTGGTGTCAGGAATCAAACTCAGGACCTTGCACTTGCCAAGCAGGCACTGTACCACTGAGCTATATCCCCAACCCCCTAGCAATTTTTTATAAAGGTGTCTATTTGATTTTGTCTTGACTGTCACCAAGGGATTTTTGTTTATTTTTGTTTTTTGCAAGATACCATACTTAGAGTGTCAGAGAACAAAGTAATGCTTTTAAAAATTGTTTTAAAACTTAAAAGATTAGTATACAAAAAAGAAAAAATTGACTTTTCTAGTTTAGGATTTCCTTCATTAGCAGTTAAACAGTCATTTTAATTTCCATTTCACATAACTAGGACAAATAATTATTTTTGTTCACACCAGTTGTAAGAACTGGTTGGTCATGATTGAGAGCACATCATAGATAACAGGCATCGTTTTCTTTTCTAGGATGTTGGCAATCTACATGGATGTATTAAATATATTTATCCGAGTTGCAAGTATGCTAGCAACTGGAGGCAACAGAAAGAAGTGAAGCAAGAGCATCCGGCTCCTGACGCATCACATGTCGTTTGTTTAGTAGGGCCAATGTTCATTATGTAGTTTGTACAAGCCACTCTTGTTGAGGTTTGGAGGATAAGACCATGTTGACACATTTAAGTGTTCCAGTAATGTAACCCCCACGTCTGCTTTTTCTTTTAGAAAATAAATTCAGCAGTTCTCTTCCAAATAAGCACATAAGTATGTCCAACTCTCATACTTGAGTAATTTTAAGGTACTTTAACAAATATGAAAACTAAGGTTTATGCCAGGAGAGCTTAAGTATTTTACCTATTTTTGAGTTTATTAGAGTAAGTGAAAATTAGTAAATTTGTGCCTATTCATATCTTGGGACACAATTTTTTGTTTGTTTTTTTTTTTTGAGGCAGGGTCTTGCTGTATCATTCAGGCTGGCCTTGAACCCATGGCAGTCCTCCTGCCTTGGCCTCCTGAGTACTGGGATTACTCTGGCGTGTGCCACCACGCCCGGCTGGCACACAGAGTACTGAAGTAACATCATAAGTAATGTAGAAGTTTTGGTGTAGAGACTGGAAAGTAGGTTATCCACACCATTTACCCCCCATTCTTAGAATTTAGCATTTTGTGATTGTGTTGAGCCAATGATAAACATCTGAGTATTTGCAACAAACAAGTGATTGCTATTTTTGCATTTGCCTTGGAAATAGAGGCCTGGAGGACACATCGTCCTGCTCTGCTTCTCAGTGCTGTCACAGTGGAGATGTGGTCCTCGTGAGGAATGTCAGGAGTCTGTCCTCAGCAGTGCAGAGTGTTAGTCACATTGGCAATCCCGAGTGGAATTATGTATATGAGTTTTCCTTTTGAATCTCCTAGAGCAACATTTCCTTAAACGACTCTAGATAAAATGTTCAAAGCATGAAATGTATTGCTTTTTAAAGTACACAAGCAACATGTTTGTAGTTGGTGAGGATTTGCTGCAGAAGTATTGGTGTCTAAATATATGCTTGTTTTTCTCGGCTCTTCCTTTTGATGTCATTAGCAAAACGTGCTGTGGCTTATGCTAGAGGTTTTTACAAAAGCAGTTTTTCTCCTAAAACTGTTGGTTTTTTGCATTCCCTCTGAAATGAAGCACTGTAAAGCAAAGCTAGCTGTCTGAAAAACGTGAATCAAAAGTGGGATGGAGAAGTGTCCCCAGCAGAATTTTCTTTTTGTCATGCATAGACTATTACTTCACTTGCTTGTAACATTTGTAAGATTTTTGACACAGAATTAGAAGTCTTTAGTGATAGGAAGAAGTCTATATGATTACTGAGATGACTGCTATTTTTGATAAATATTTATTGCAGTAACCTGGAAATAACTTCTAACCATCTCAAAGTACATAGAATATTTATTTATGAAACAATAAAGTTTCTGGCCAGATGGTGATTGGTCTGCTTTTTTTTAGCTGAACTGAATTTGCAGTATTTGAACAGGGATTTGTTGGATACTGCCTCTAACTCAACACTTCTGCTTATTTCTTATGTGACACTGGAGAGATTTTTTTAACCGTCCCTGCCCCATCTGTTAAATGAAGATACTAATGAAACCTACCTCATAGAGTTAAGGTTAAATGTGTACAACCGTAATACCTGTTATGTAAGTTTTAACTTCTGATGCTGGTTTGATTTTTTTTTTTTTTTTCTGAGTTTAAAAAAAAAAAAGTATAAATGCTTAATTTCTTCTGTTTTTTCCCAGTCTACCCCAGCCTCCATACAATGTTAATGGATTACAGGGCCTGTTACCTTTGATCACATTTTAGAAACCAAAGTTTATGTCTTTTATTTTTGGATGGTACCACACATAGAACAGAACTGGCATAATTTTAGCAGTGGTATCAAGCAAAGGCTGATTTACAAAAATCAAGGTTTTATTTTTAAATGGAGTGACAGTACTATGTTATAGTACCTAACTTTTCCTGACTTTGCTAGGACAGTAAAGACTATAAAATATGAAACTGAGCTACATAAATATGATTGATAATGCTGAAACAACAAGTCTCTGATAGTTGGCTTCTGTTAGCATACCACAGTGTTGTTTCTGTTGTCACTTTGCTCACAGAGAAAAGAGCTACAAGTACATAGGCCTTAGGGAACAGAAAGCAAAACATCTCTGTTATTCCTCACATGCCGTCTTCAGTGTTCCAGGATAACTGGAAATGTGTAGTTGAGGGTATGTACTGTGTTACGTGGGAGGACACGTGCCTGCCCGGGGTAGCCAGCACCAGGCTGGCGGAGGGACAGCAGCTGCGTCCCGGAGTGCAGCCGCCAGGTGAACACACTTGTCTGTTGGGTGAGCGTCTGAGGAGTGAGCACCATTGCAGTGGCTGCAGGAACTGATCATTTCGAGGGGATCTTCACATCAGAGTACAAGCTGCATGTGGGGCAGACTAATTTCAGCAACACAGGAAGACTTGCATAGTGAGTATGAGTGGAAGTGAGCGTTACTGGCTTGGCCCCTTCACAGAGTGACAAACGTAATCGGGTCAGACCCTGTGGTACTCAGTGAAGCAATCAGTTCTTAGAGCCAACTGTGGGGAGACTCGAAACGTCGTCTGGAGCACAGCATCAGGTGGGACAGTAGTCAGGAGTGAACTCAGAAGGCAGCTGGCCCTGCTGATTTGGAGAGGCAGTGCTGGAGGCAGAAGCCTCTACCACAGGTGGGGAATTCAGTGCCCTAACCACACCATTAATCCACGTGAGTCACTCCTGGGACTGAATAGGAGTTAGGCACTCTGTTAAGCAGTAGTTAAATCATGGGAAACAGCTACAGCCTTGAGTGACTCAGGATAGCCTCATGCTGAAAATACAGAATGGCTGCCCAGACAGTTGCCAAAGGAGTTTGGAGGAAGGCAGATGTGTCTAACGTGCAGAAAGGAAGGGTGGTTGGCTTTTTGGCAGGAGGAGGATCTAGCACTGATCCCACACACAGCATCACGAAATGTTCTGACCTGCTCTGTAGAGAGCTCACCACCAGCTTGACTCCTCCAGTTCCATGCGTGTGTGAAAGGCTGTGTAGCGCCTATGGGACTTGGAATGTGCTTGGGTGTCTCACAAGATCTAAGCACGGTCACCTGCTTTGTTTACATAGAGTAGTGGTCAAAGAGTAATGAGATTTTCAGTTCAAAAATCCAGGTGGCAGGAAAAAATGGGCATTTGGTAAGAAAAAGGGGAGTCGAGTATCTTCACAGTATAGCTGCCTGAGTAATTTTTTTAGAAAAGGAAAATACAGAGAGAAAGTGAAAATCGTTGCAATACTTTGGAGGACATTTCTCAGGTTAGGGAACTAACAGGAAGACCCAACCACGTGGACTGGCTCCCCCCCTAAACAACCTTCAGCGCTAGACAACCTTCAAGGCCCTCCTAGCCGGCTGCCTCCATTTGAGTTGAGGGTGACCCCTGGACCTTGTGCATACACGCACACACCTGGTTGTCCAGGCACTGGTGGGCGTCAGGTGAGAATAAGTAACATCTGGACAGCCTGCAAGTTTGCAGGGCATGGATCACATTGTTGATACATAGGGCCCATCCCAAACCTTCCCTATTCTCCAGCCTAAGCGTTGGTGAAAGCAAAAGACCTTGATGTTCCCACTCCTTTCTGTGCCCTCCTGCTGCATCTCTTGTACTTGTTTTACTCTCACTTTTCTGCACAAAGATCCACACTTGGAAGTGGTATCAGTTATTTAGACCTAAATTTCTATTTGTGGGTGCGCACACCCATGCATATTTTCTTTCCTCCTAATTTTGTTAAAGTAGTTCTGAGTAAAGAAGTATCAGCTACCCTGAAGCATCGACACAAGTTAGAGGTGAGGTACTTTTTGGAGACAGGTCATCACTGGAAAGGAGAGATTCAGCAGTTCTCTTTGGGCATGTATCCAGGAAACTTGAAATCCATGTGCTGATACATGAGATGTGATGGAAATGTTTAAGTCAAAGTATTACCGTAAAAAAAAAAAAAAAACACTGCCGTGAATCCCTCAGGATAATTTCCTTCACTTTGAACACTTACTGCAATCTGACTACTTTTTGAAGCAGATCTGAAGTCATTCCTGAGTGGGTTTACAAGGTGGAAAGCCAGGCTTATAGAAACATGATGCTGTGTCCACCTTCACCAGGTGTGGCGCTGTGTGACTGGCTCTTCCCCAGAGTCACAATGACCAGGAACAGTCAACATTTTAAATCTATTCAAGATACTGAGGCAGGCATGACGGCACAACTAAAGCCACAAAGAAGGACTGGGAGAATGCTTCTGAAGGTGACGAGAACAGTGGGAGAAGTGTGAGAAGCGAAGGGGAGGACTCGGGGATTAATGACAATGTCTTTTACTCACATTTGTTGATCACACCTGTCTACATACCTGTGTTCGCTCCAGCATGTTCACAAAAACCAAGATACAACAGAATTGCCTTGTGTGTCTTTCAAGGATGAGAGGACAGTATCTCAACATGGATTAACCTAGAAGATGATGCTGAATAAGCCAGGCACAGAAACACAAAAGTCGGTTTCTGTGTAATCTAAAATAATAGAAGTGGTTTTCGGGGGGGGGGGGGGGGGTTGGTACTGAGAATCAAAGCCAGGACCTTGTACTTGCCAGGCAGGCGCTGTGCTGAAGAGCTCTGTCCCCAGCCCCAAAATAATTAAACTTGGAAAGCAGGGAAAATAGTTACAAGACAGAGCAGAAGGTCACAGGAGAAAAAAATAAGGTGGTGATCTGTTAGCTTAGTCATTTCGCACTGCATTTGTAATACAGCACCACTGTGTACCTCATACACTAATTTGTCATAGAATAACCTATATTAGTATGTGGTAAGGGAATTCTTCAGGATCAGGAAATTAAGCTAGTGGCTACTAGGTTGTATTAGTCAACCTTTCTTTGCTCAGACAACATACTTGACCTATACAACCTAAAAGAGAAAAGATTTATTTTGACTGGCTCCAAGAAGAAATTCAGTAGAGGAAAGCTGCTGAGCTCAGTGCAGCCAGGGACAAGGGAGCCACCTCCAATTAGACCCTGCCTCCCAGTAAGCTCGCTGAGCTAGGAACCCATGGGAGGGCTTATGACCCCCAACACAATGGGGCTTTGGGGGCCATTTTGGGTCTCAACCATAAGGCAAACAGATTAAAACCATCCTGAAGTTGAAAAAAGTTGGAATAGTATTGACTTTTGGAAAGGCATTAAATATAATTTCACTAAAATTTCAAGATTAGGATAACTTTCTAAGTTGAGCATGCTAAAGTATAATACTTGAGCATGCTAAAGTGTAACACTCACTGCAATAAACAGGTACAACAAATACTGGGAGGGGACAAAAAGGAAGTAAAGGCTATGTGCCCCACTTGGGAAAGTCGACCACATAAAACCCAAAACTGTAGCACAACCATTCAGCATATTATACCCTCATAAGCTAAAGACAGGGCAGAGCTCCGCTGTAGACCCTGAGTTTTTAACAAGTGTTGGGGCAGGCAGGGAGACAAGGATCTATAGTAAGGTGCACTGAGAAAACCACTGAGCGATGACAACAAAAGGCTCCAGACAGAAGGCCAGCACTGAGAAGCTGTTTCTGTCGGAGCCAGACTGGCTTCACGGTACTCAGGCATCTAGCAGAAATGGCCCTGGAAGGGGCTGGGGATTTAGCTCAGTGGCACAGCGCCTGCCTGGCAAGCACGAGGTTGTGAGTTCGATTCCCAGTACCGGGAAAAAAAAAAAAAAAAAAAAAGGAAATGGCCCTGGAACAGGAAAGGCAAAGCCTTGTGGCACAGCGGCCATGGCCACACCCAGCCCTTCCCTGGTGGGGCTCCCAGGCCAGGCAGGGACTCCTTGGGCAGCTGTCGAGGTGAGGCAGGCTAGCCCCACACCCAATGTGTGGTGGACAGACTGACCTGGGGGGGGGAGAGGTGAAACAGTGGGAAAATTCACTGCAGCAGTGATAGGGAGGGGTCACCAAGGGTAGCAGAGGAGGGGACAGACCTCCCACTTAACAGCCCTGATCTGAGCAGCAGGAGGCAGGCAAGACCCACTGCACTGAAGGCATACAAGGAAGTTCAGATTAAGCGGGGCTGGAGCCTGAGCTAAAGATCAGCTCAGAGCTCTCCCGGAACTCAGAAGCCCCACAGCTTTGGAAACCTGATCCAGTCTCAATTCCTCTTTCGCAAAATGTGGAGAGCCTTCCCCTTCCCTGAGGGTGAAAGTCAATGCCAGCCTTCCTGAAGTGTAATGCAAAGCCAAACAGGCTGGCACATGGCATCTGGCGCTCCCTTCATTATGAGCTGCGCTGCAGTTTGCCAAGCAAATAAAGGAGGGAGAGTCGCTCGGATCAGTTATGGGGTCTATAAAACCCTGGGGAGAAGTGTGTGCTGCCTGAGTACAAAGTGGAGGACACGGGGCAGAGATGCTGCCCTCACAAAGGCTGGGGCACAGGGCCGCTTCCTCGCTGCTCTTAGAAACAACAAATTTGACTTGAATCATGTTTCTTCCTTGTGAAATCCCCAGCGTCTTAGGTGTGTCTCTGGAGACCTTTTTTTTTTTTCTGCTCAGGAAAACTGCCAGAAAAGTTTTCAAAATCATCTTAGGAAATCATTTAAACCCCATAATTTGATTTTTTTTATTATTATCCGAACTGCACATGCTTAAAACTTAACAGGTCTTCCTGTTAAGATGCTTCTCATTTTCACCTCTCTCAGCTCAACTCGAGATTTTGAACATTCTAGAAAGCTGGAGGTGTTTCTTCCTTTTTTAAAGTAAGAAGCTGACAGCTATCTTTGAAACGTTAAAAGCAGGTGAGAATCTGTGAACAGTGATTGTCCCCAGAGGAGGGAGCTGAGCCTGGAATTTATACTTTATAACCTGTGTTTTTTTAATATGGGCCTGGATTGCCTCAGTACTTTTTTGTGAGAATTCAAAAGTAGCTGGAAAGGCTGGGGATATGGCTCAGTCCCTGCCGTGTGTGAGGCCCGGGTTTCATGCCCAGTACTGGGTTGCAGGGAGGCAGATGGAATTCTGACATAGGAATCTGTTCTTGTGAAACATGTGGTCCCAAGAAAACCTGCACACCTGTGAATAGTGTGAGCGTGTAAGGAACACAACCCATAAAGTAACCCATTCCTACCACCCTAGCCGGGCAGTCTTTTAGGGCTCTGTCCTGTCATGAAAGAAAAAAGCTGTGGTGCAAACCTAAAGTCCGTTTCCGGGTCCATGGCTGAGTGGTTGAGGAGCCCTAGGAAAGTTACCAAAGTTCTGGTTTAGCTGGTGGGTAGGTCCGGACAACTCCCCATTTCCCTAAAAATCTGCTTCTAGTTTATGCACCCGCTAAGTGATTAGAGTTCACCTTTTAGCGTTGGCCTCACCCCTGCCCTCTCCACAATTAAGGTGGTTTTTCTGTCTCTGCCAGAATCAGCCAGTACCATCCCAGTGCAAACTGTACCTGCTACAACAGGTAAAAGAGAGTGCCGGTCCAGGGTGTCCTGCTGCCCTGAGAACTCGGTAGCAGTCACTCCCAAACCACCCCAGATAAAAAAGACATGACGTTAGTGGAACTAGTCCTTGAGGCGAACCAGACATGTGATCTGAAACACCCCTGGGAAGCATGCTTAGGAAACTTGGCTCAGTTGATCTACAGAACAACAGGGTGCTGGCCAACTTCACCCTACTTCAGGCAACGGCTGCCCCTAGTCATCTGAGCACCAGCTCTGGTGTAGACGCAGGTGCACTCCCAGGGCCTTCAAGTTCCTGCTCATGCCCAGGCCATGGCCTCCAGATTCAGAGCACACCCTGCTAGTAGAATCAGCCTGGGGCTGCCCCAGTGACTAACGCAGCATGATATATCCAGTTTCTTTATGCAGATTAACTTTGGATTTTCTGCAAACGCATGAATGCTTAAAGGCTGACTGTCAAGCTATCTCCTGGCCACTGGTTTGCCATGGAGCTGTCTCAAGCATATGGCCTAAGTTCTTGGATCGGTAGCAAAAGAGGAAGGCTGGGGAATCCCACCATGAAACTGTCCCCAGCAGCAGCAAACATCTGAGTGTTCTGCCAGGAACCAGGGAAAGTTAAACAGACACTGCATCGTCCCATGTGCCCTTGCAGGCTTGAAACTGGCATCAATTCCTTGGCCAAAAAGCCACACTTATGAAGCAAAGAACAGACCGGCCATCCCAAAGCACAGACCTAAGTTCTGTGTGTGTGTGGATGTGTGTGTGTGTGTGTGTGCGCACACATGCAGGCTGTGGGTGTCTTTACCCTCTGGTGTCAGGAAGGTGGATCCTGCCCACCAACCCCTCTTCCTCTCTCCATCTACACCAACCAGGCACAGCCCCACCCTGTGCTCAACTCCATGGAAACCCCACCTGTACATTTTCTTTTTGTCTCATTCCTGGAAGTGTGTTTGCATATTCCTCAATCCTTTAATCTTGGCATCAGCCTGGGAATATGGAGCCACTCCCTTTTTGGAGATTGATTCTTCTTGCCCAAGTCTTCCCGCCATCTCTTGCATGACAGCTTCCCAGGACCTGATGGCAGGTGCCACAATGGACTGGGATGTTCAAGGCATCACAGAGCCCTGACTGCTCACAGCTGACCAGAGGGGCCCTGCCAGGCCCACAGCACCTGCCCCAACCCTCTGGGATCCTGAGTTCCATTCACCTCCTGGGCTCTTGTCCCCAAAACCTCTGCATCCACGGACAGTGAGAGGTAACAGTCACACCATGCATCAGCACTGCCCATACCAGGGCCAAAGAAGCTGCACCAGAAAAAGACTATCTAGGTCCAGAAGGATGACTAGAAGCTGGGACAGGAGTGGGGCCAGGGGAGTCCAGACAGCGGCTTATGGTGGGGACAGGAGTCTGTCCCTCATGGAAAAGGAACTCTGACCATTTATGCCACCAGTCTACCTGGCTAAAAACCCACACGCCTACGTTTTTCATACCTTAGCAAGTCTACCTCCTCCACTGGCCCAGGAGGCCCACCATGACCATACCAGCCCCGCTCCCACATCCCATCTGCAAAGCCTCCTGTCCCTCCTCACCGCCTGATTGTGCAACATCCCTTGCTGCCCTTTGGCATGGATGGCACTTACTATACAGTGCTGTGGTCAGCTGTCTGCCCAGTTGCCTCCATCAACACAAACCCCTGTTACCCAGCCTGGCCAGTGTCTCCCAAGTGCCTGAGACCTACAGACAGCCCCCAGGAGTGGGTGACAGCTAAGTGTCCCACACAGGGGCAGACTTTCCCCATACCTGCCCTGGTCAGATGCCCCCACCCCCATCAAGCTGACCTCCAACTTGAAGTGCCTTTCATTTCATCGCTATCTTACTCACTGACGGGCAGCTACATAATTTTACAACAGGGTGAAACCTGACTGGTACAGATGGTTTATTTCACACCTCCTCAGGCAGCTCTGAGTCCATTTCAGAGGGGCAGCACATCTAGAGACATCGAGAGACAAGTCTGAAGTCACCCCGCTGATAAACAGTGGTGCAAGGATCCAAACCCAGATCAGGGCATTCACAATCATGCCTAAGCCTCTGCAAGGGATTTTATGGTCCTTCTCTAAGCAACATCTAAGAAGCAAGCAGGAAGATCTGCATTTCATGGAATTATTACTGACACTAAAAGTTAACGTTCAATCCTAGCTCTTTCCCCTAGCAGGAGTTTCCTGCTCTGACTTCTGTAGCTGGGGCAGGTAGCTCTCAGGGCTGGCATGTTACAGGTCATTAAACCTCAGCATCTCGAAAAGCTGGTTCTTTTCCTTTGGGAGGGGCCACCTCCTCTTTATGAGATCTGGGGCTGCCACTCTATAAAGTGTCGGTGGTGGCCCTGAGGGAGGCAGTCTGCCTCCCAGCACAGCTACCTCCCAGGCCAAGAGACTTCAACCGCCTCAACATGCGACTTCTAGTCCTGTCCGGCCTCATCTGCATCTTGCTGCTCTGTGTCTCCATCCTTTCCGGGGAAGGTAGGTTGCCCCAGGTGCTGTGCCCTGAGCAGGGACTCCAGGGTCTAAGGAGGTTGGAGCCGGACGTGCTGGAGAGCAGGCATACACTGAGCATGCCCTGAGCTCTGCGAACATGCTGGGGGCCAAAGGGAAGCACCCCTTCCACCCCAGGCATACAGCCTGTGCTCTGCCCAAGTCCTTTCTACGTGGACATTCTGGAGTCACCTGTTGTAGCTGTACCATGCTCAGGTCAGAGGAAGCCTTGCTGGGTGATGAATAAATGAATGAGTTCACTACTGAGTCTGAACTTCTCAAACCCCATGCACAGAAAATACGCCATGGGCTGGGAGGATAGGCATGGGCATATTAGTGTATTCAGAAGTGGGGAAATGTTATCCTTTCACCCAGAAAAAGACTTAGCCCTCCTGCCATTCTTTTTTTTTTTTTTTAAGAGAAAAAGAATAAAACAAAATTTCAAAACAAGATAATAGGAGGGTAACAATGCTTATGGTACATTGTATATTGCTATCTTTAAATTACTCAGCATACAAGATACTGGCGGTTAATTGTCCAAACAAATCTTTCTTTTCAATGAACTTAGAGAAATTAAAATAACTATCATAACTATCTTTTACATATATATGACTTTTCCCTTCTTTTCTCCATTCCCCAGTCTCAGTTTCTCTTTCCTATTGAAGTTTCTTCCCATTTACAATATATGTTGTACATTTTGGATCTTATTTATTCTTTCAGCTTCTCACACTAGGGAGACAATATGATGTTTACATATGAGCATCTGGTTTATTTGACTTATGAGTATGGTCTTGAGTTGCATCCATTTACCTATAAAAGTCTCCAGTTTATCCTTCTTTACAGCTGAATAATACTCCATTGTATAAAAAGACCACCTCTTTTTTATACATTCCTCAGTTGATTGGTGTTTGGGTTGTTTCCAAGATCTAGCCCTCCTGCCATTCTTGTTTCAAATAGCTATTTCAGGCTTTTTCTCTTGTACAGCCCTCTAGCAAACTGCCTACTTTTATATTTTGTGTTCACATTTATGGTTATTTTAACATTTATTTGAGCTGAGCTTATGGAAATATACAAACAGGAGGAAAACACCTATCATTTCATGATTGAAGAACAGCCATGTTCAACATTTTTTAAGCTGCATGAATCATTTTTTAAAAATTTGATAACTCTGTAGATGTTCAACGCTGCCTTCACTTAACACTCTTTTCTTGCAGTCACTAAAAATACTCGTGCTGAACTTGCTCATTCACGCCACAGTGTCAGTAGCGGTCCCCTATGAGTAGCGGGATTACAGGAAGTATTTATGTGCTCAAGTTTTTGCAGGGAACATGTGCCAATATAATCAGGAAAATGGTGATTAGAATTCATCAGGAGCACAGGTTTATTCTAGCACAGGTCACCAGTGTAACTCAGATGGCAACTCCCAAGGACAGGTGTCGCTCCATAGAGACTCCTCTTAGTGTCGGACTCTCCCTGGCAGATGCGGAAAGTGGTAAATTCAGCTGATATTTCTATGTATAACTTGCCATCAAGGGAGGCTGCTGTTGTTCATTTGTGTGCTTAGACATTCAGATGCTTACAACTGTGCACTGTAGTACAAATATGGTAAAGCATACACGTGTGCAGCAGATATTTCCTTCCTTCCGAAGTTTTGATTCGTCCATGTTTGCGGTACAGGACGATGACATTCATCCCGGGGAGTGGGTCCATCTACATCACACAGCTTCATTCTTTCCATGCCCCCTTCCCCCTCCCTCCCTCCATCTCTTGGTAAAGTATTTCCTGTATTCGGGATTCTTTCCCTGCACTAGATTGCCAGGGGAGAGTTACTATGTGGAAGGGCAAGGACACTTTTGAGCCACTGCACCGAATTGTTCCTGGAACAGGGACTCGGGGACTTACCCTGGTAGCAAACCTTCTCCCCATGTTGACTTTTGTTACTTAAGAAAAGTGAAATACAGCAAGTCCACCCCTTCACACTCGCCCCCACACCTGACCCATCTCCAGTGTCCTGGAGTAAATATTCCTGAACTGGACCTAGGGAGTAGAAGCCCACACAAGCTGTCACTGCTAGGACGCCCTCAGGGTGTCCCCCAAGCCCACTGAGGGAGGGCTGTGTTCTCCTTTGTGTCTACCCTCAGCGAAAAGGCTTCGGACCAAGATACGGAAACCCAGGCTCTGCTGCCGCCCAGCTCCTGGCTCTAACCTTCGCGGTAAGCCCCACACCCCGCCTGGGCTAGGCTGGGGAGGGCGGCTTCCAGTGGCTTTGGGGCAGGACAGACATGTTGATCAGCCCCTACCTGTGCACGACATCAGAGAGACCACACACAGGTGTGACCTCAGCCTCATGGAGCTTAGAGCCCACCCCCTCCAAGAGGAGCTAAATGTATCCTTTCCAGCTTAAAAGAGTCAAGAAAAAGCAAGATGCAAGGAAGAAATGTGGGGCACATTGGTCCCTTAAAAGGGAGGTGACAGGAGGTGACATTTGTGACACTTGCGGAGAGGTCAGGAGCCTCTTGAGGGCGGTGGAGGGGGCAGCGGAGCAGAGAGGGCAGTGGGGTGACAGGCTGGGATGGGCAGAAGCGCCAAGGAGCCAAGGAGCCGAGGGCGGAGTGCTCCAGAACCCAGGCAGACCGCCTGCAAGCCACGCTGATCTGGGCCCTGCCAGCATGTGGTCAGATGGGATGCACAGAGCTGAGAGCCCCACCTCGGGTAGCACCCCAAGATGTGAGTGGCACTCCCCAGCTGCAGTTCTGGGCACTGGCTGGAGGTGGGGAGGAGGGAGGCTGTCAGAACGGGCATGAGTGCAGGGGGCTCAGACCCACTCCAGGGGCCTGGGCTTCTAGGGCTCCAGGCCAGTGCCCACTGACGCAGTGGCATCGCTGGCCTGGTGAGAGGTGCAGACTGAGGGACCACGGTGGCCTTGTGGTAGGAGGCAGACAGCACGGGGCAGGGGGCCACACCCAGGGTAAAGACCTGAAGAGTCCACACCCAGCGCCTGCGAGGGGCCTTCTCAGCCAGTGTGGGGCCAAGAGACAGAGCAGCTCTGGAGTGAGGGGAGAGGGCCAACAGAGAGGGCCCAGCCTCAGACCCTGCTCCCCGGCACTGGTGGCCCCCCTTTCCAACCAGTCTCCACCCAGCTGGACTGGGCTGAAACAAGCCGGCCACAGGTCAGGTGTGCGGCCCAGGCACAGGCACAGGGGTGCTGATGGCAGCTGTGCACCCCAGGTGGAGTGAGGAGGAGGAAGAAGAGGAGGAGGAGGAGGAGGACAGAGAGGGGGAGGAAGAGAAGAGGAGACACAGATACAGAGATACACACAGACACCACACAACCATGCACTCACAAACACACACAGGCACACACACATGCACGCTACCCGCAGAAACACACACATGCATGCACACAGTGCACATGCAGTTCCAAGGGGCGTGGGTGGCTCTCTGCCAGCGCTCAGGGCCGGCAGCCCATTTGAGGGTCATACGGTGCTGTAGGAGCATAATCTACCTCTGCTGCCCCAGTAGCAAGACTGGGTCTTGCTGGGCGTGGTGGCACCTCTCTTCAAGCATTTAGAAAGTTTTTCAACATCTGCACTGCAGCGCCCCCTTAGTTACAGAAATACCGGTTATGCAAGTGGGGCGGGGGCTGCTCGGCCTTAAGCTGGGTTCACATCCACAGCAGTGGGGCCCTACAGCCGGCCGGAAGCTATGGGCCTCCCCTGACATGGCATACAAGGAAGAGTAAATTATGCTGCTTGTTTGCTGCCATTATCACTCTGAGAAGACTCAGGCACTTTGCAGTAGTAAGAAAAATGAAAAGAAAAATCACGCCGATGTTAGCACTTTGTTTTGATTAATACACGAGGCTGTAGGTGGATTGTGATAATTACTGTGTTGCACACCTAACACTTCTAAGGCAATTTCTAGATGTGATATTTACATCTGCTAATGCATTTAATCCTCATAATAAACCCAAAAGTTAGACATGATTACTGTCTTCGTTGTCACAAAAAAGTAAATTAACTTGTTGAAAGCCACATACTTAGTAAGTGAGTAGTACAGCTGGGCTTTAAATCCAAATAATTTAGCTCCAGATTCCATGTGATTAACTTTCACACTGGAACACATATAGAAATTACCTGGAAGCCAGAGTAGAAAAAGAGAATAATCTTACTAGCATAATTTAATAACTCTTCCTACTCATTTGTGTCTCCTCCCTTTTTTTTACTCTAACATTTACCTAATTCTGTTTTTATGGTACCTCTGTCTTTTTCTCCAGTACTGGAGTTTGAAACAAGGGCCTTCACACTGAGGTACATTCTGGCCTCTTTTTTATTTTTTATTTGAGACAGAGTCTCACTAAGTCACTAAGTTGCCTGGACTGCGCTTGAACTTGGGATCCTCCTGCCACAGCCTCCGGAGTGCTGGAATTGCAGGTGTGCACTGCTGTGCCTGGCTTCATACCTCATTTCAAACTGTTTTATATTAACATTGAATCATAATATTTTTCTTTGTGTTGATACATGGTCATCACAATCTTGGGGTTCTTTCACCAAGAAATGTTTCCAGCATCATGAAGTATTATTACTATTTAGCTATTTCTCTAGCCTACACACGATATTCAGATTATTTGTAAAAATTCTTCCTGAATTTTGTTTTGTTTTGTTTTATTTGAGACAAGGTCTCACTCTCACTATATAGCCCAAGCTGGCCATGTACTCACTATATAGCACAGGCTGGCCTCAAATTCACAGTGATCCTCCTGCCTCAGCCTCCCCAGTGCTGGGTATACACCCCACTCTCAGCTCTATCCTGCTATTAAAAGCGATATGGAGATGAGCTCAGTGAGTGTAGTACTTGCCTTCTTGCATAGTATTCCTCCCATAAAGGGGCTGGTGGGACAAACTGCAGACATAGCTTTGTGTACTCAGAACCTGGCACCTGCTGTCCAAAGAGACAGGTGGGGGCACCATGGCAGGCCTTCTCTCCGCCACTGTCATGAGCAGAGGGCCACTTCTGTCATCCTCTCTGTCCTCTGCTGTAATCAGACCCCAGCTTCCCTGCTGAGATGGGGTGGTTAGAACTGGCCTGGTTGGCCATGTAGACCTTTCTGGGCCTCCAGGAAAAAGAGAGAGGTCAGGGTTGGAGGATGAGTCTAATGTGTTTCTTTCCTCCCACCCCGTTTGCCCACCCTGCCGACTGGCTGCTTCTCCCCACAGGGAACCGCATCAGGCTGTGCAGACCATGCAGGCCCAAGCCAGTGCCAACGCGGTCCTGGGTAGTACCCGGGGCTCTCCCGCAGGTGTAGCACTTCTACCCTGCCCTTCCACCCAGGCTACGGCACTGACACGGGAAGCCTGAGCCCCATCCACCTGAGCAGCCCTGAACAGTGATGGAGATGGCCTCCGCTCAGGAGCAAGAGCTCCTAGGAGCCCAGAACGCCTCCAGGTCCTGGTGCACACAAGCAGGCTTGGCCGAGGGCTCAGGCCCCCTCAGTGCGGCAGTCAAGGAATCCTCCGTGACCTGGAGCAGCTACAGATGCAGACATGCCCGTCCCCTGGAAAAGGGAGCAGCAGGACCAGGAGGTCAGCCAGGACTGCAGTCTCAGGCACCCAGGCCTGTGGCACCGGACCCCAACATCCCATGACCTCAAAAAGGCCCTCCACCTAGCTTCCTGATGTGTGTCAGCTGGAAAGAGGCCCCAAGCAAACACATAATCAATAAACATATGCAAAATGCAGGGTGCATCCTTGGTTGGGAGAAGCACCAGCGGCCTGTGCCACACGTGTACCCGCACCCCTTCCTCCCAGCACAGCCACACAGGACGTCCGGTGTGATCTGGGCACAATGACCTGCTTTCCTATAAAAAGGAGTTTACAGGACCACTGGAGGGGGCAGCAGACGGTGTGACATGCTCACAGGAGCTGGATCAGGGTGTCCCTTTGTCCTGCCCACAGGGTACTGCTTATGTCCACAGTGATCACAGCTCTCCAAAGCTGAACTCGGGGGCAGATGGCTCCAGGCTCAAATGCTTATCTCCCGGCACAGCGCCTCCTAATCCGATTCTCCAAGACAGCCGAGAAGCCCCGTCCAATCACCCTCAAGCCAGATGAGACCACCAGGCCACCAGACCTGAGGCTGAGGGACAGAGGCACTTCAGGCAGGGTCTGGGGGCCTGGCCTCCAGCAGGCCCAAAGTCTGCATCTTGCCACAGGCCAGACTTCCTGCGTCCTTGTCATAATAGCTGTCATGTTTTCCGAGAGACTCCTCAGTGTCTTTGTCCTGGGTAGGCAAAGGTCAGGCCTATGCTGGTCTTGGAGGCTCAGCAATGACCAGACTGGAGCTCATGTGTGACATCCAGGAGGTCAGGGCTCTGGGACATTGTGGCCAAGGGGCAGAATGGAGGGTGGGGACAGGAGGGATGGAGGCAGAGGAGGGATACGCAGGACCTGGGCTAGTGGGGAGGCCCTGCTGGGGGAGGCGGGGTGCACCACAGGGGGGTTGTGGTGTGTGTCGTGTGTGAGTGACATGTGGAGTGTTTACCTATGTGTGAGTGACGTGTAGAGTGTTTACCTATCTGTGTCTGCACAGCGGTGGCGTGGGGTGTGCATGCGCGTGTCTGTGACCATGTGTGGAGGAATGTTGAGGCGAGGTGGGGCACAGCAAGGCCAGGCAGGAGGAGGCGAGCACTGGATCAGAACTCAGAATTGGACAGCGGCGTGGGGCTCAGGGGACAAGAGGCCTCACTCACCTGCACCTGAGGCAAAGGCAGGACTTAGGTCCCCAGGTGTCTGGGGTTCGTTGGGGAACAAAAAGTGCCAGAAGTGTGAGGCAGATGCAGGAGACAGGAGGCAGGATGGACCGGAAGGTGAGGCACAGCAGGCTGGGGAGAAGAAGAGCAGTGCAGTGGCCCGTGACTCGCTGGCTGGAGTCAGCTGGTGCACAATCTTGTGACAATGGCTCCTGAGGTGTCACACCCTAACCAGGAGCTCCCTCAGCAGGGATTCAGGATTCTTGTCCCTCCCTCTGCTCCTCTCAATGCTACTCCCCTTCAAAAAAAAAAAAAAAAAAAACACACACACAAAACTAAGCACATGTGCTTGAGGATCACCGGGGAGGAATGACTCAGAAGCCACATGCCCGGGCATAGCCCTGAGCCTTCCCGGAAATGGGCCATGCAGAGAAAGCAGCCTCATCTCTCTGAGGGCCAACAGGGGGAAGATGAGATAGTTCTGTCTCTAAACCAAAGGAAGATGTGGCTTGGCCTTTGGGGACAGGGAGCACCTTTTCAGAGCCACTCGCTGTCAGAGGGTGCTGGGAAGAGACTGGAAGGAAAGCCAGATTCACAAGCAGAGATGTCCACAGGCCCTAGGGAGGAAGAACCTGCATCTGAGAAAAACACTGAAACTTAAAGCTTGCAAAAGGGATGCTCAGACTTTTTCTGTGGTGGAAGAACTTCACTCTCAGAGGATGGATGGAGTCCCACAGGACAAGTCTTGTAAAGAAAGCTATTCGAGTATGGGGGGAAACCAACTTCAGAATAATAAAATCAGAATTCCTATGTTGCCCCAATTATCTCCTGGAAGAATCTAGATATGGCTGCTGGCTATAATAGGATGAGAGTGTGCAGTGTCTATGGCAACCAAAGGGGTCCATCCTCCCTCAATGGGGGCACCTGGTGTAGTTTATAGGGTATGAGCTTCCAAGACAGACCTAAGGATAAAATGATGGCCAATGTATGACTCTAGGGACATCAGATGACAGCTGAGACCCTCCACGCTCCCATTCATAAACTGAGGCCCAGACTTCGGGTTACACCCCCAGCTCATCTCTAGGCAAACCACTTTGGGATCCCACAGAGGCCAGAGCAGGCTGGTGACCGTTCACATGGTGACTTCACTCATGGTCCCAGAAGCGTATAGAGTCTATGTCCTGTGCTCTAGTCTGGCCTCCCGATGGAAGCTGGGTCTGGCCCATTTATAGGCAGCCTCAAAACATGTAGGCAGTTTAGGAGCAACTAACACACTTGCCATCAACAGCGCCACCCCGAGGAGAGGTCTGTGGCCCACAGATCCCGCTTAACCTCAGGTAAACCACACTGCCCCTCAGGACCTGCGAAGTCTTAACCAGAAAGACAGGAGACATCCAGTTGCTAGATGTCCACACCGAGGCGTCCTTTCCACATCAAACACAAACTTTTTGCTTGTCCGGCTCAATGTTTCAAAAATTCTGTGGATGTGAACATTTATTCATGTGCCATAGTCACCACTCATCCCTATCGCCTGTCACCCTGCCATTCCACACATTTCCACTCCCTCCCTCCCTCAGAAGTTTACACCCCCTGGAAATGTGCTGTCTATTTATGGAAGGGTCAGGAAGTGTCGAAGGCACACAGAGGGTTAGCAGTTGATTAAAACCAGGAACCAAGACTCCTGACATTCTAAGATGTCCTTCATTCATTCATTTACTCTCTGTCTTAGTTACTTTTTCTCGTTGCTGAGACAAAATACCCAACACACAAAGTTAAAGGAGCAAAGGTTTATTTGGCTCAATTTGTAGAAGTTTCAGTCCATAGTTGGCTGGCTCCAGGGCAGAGATGCAGCGCAGAGGGGCAACAGCACATGGCAGGCCGGAGGCAGAAGGCAGCAAGCAGAAAACCATGAGTGATAAGCCACCACTCTCTTTCTGTCCCTTACATTCTATTCAGGCTACGCTCTCAGAAGTACTCACACCCAGGGTAGGGGTACCCTTAATGCTAGCATTGTACCCCAAATCAATCAGAGCATCACATGCTCCATCCCAGCATCACACACTCTGGATCCAACCACTTTAAAAAGTCCCACCTATGGCCGTGTATAGCTTTGGCAGAATATTTAGATACGAGCCATAATACTCCCTCATTCATTCAGCCAGTTATAACCATTCATTGAGAACTGTTATGCTTTGGATAAGTCTCACATAAAGATCCCCAGCCCACTGGGCTAATGGAGAAATAAATATTTTATTTTTATAAGTAAATTATCTCAAGTATATGTGACAATAACAAAAAGTTGACTAACGCAAGGACCTACTATTGGCCAGTTCTGCACCAATAATAAAGCAACCTATGAATAAAACCCAGCTTCTCCAGAAATGGTTCATGGCTCCCTGGAGGAGACACCCAAGCAGGAGGATTTCAGCATTGCAGTCTCTTAAGTGCCCTGTCATTGCTCCAAGTAGGGCCAGTTCTGTTTGGGGCAGAAGCATGGGTTGAGGAGTAGGAGCTTCCGGAGAAGCAGACCTTTGGTGTGTTCCACACCCAGGCTCAGCCATGCAGTGGATTGAGACAGCAAAAGACAAATTGTAGGGTGGAAACAGGCCAGCCAGCGCTGGAGATTCTGCCTACCAGGGTGAGTGTGGCGCCACATTGAAAGTGGCGGTGTTACAATCTAGAAGTTGGAGTGTGGGCAAAATGTTATCGGGCCACAAACCAGTTTGATGGAACCAGGGAGCAGTGGCAGAGTCTCTTGAGTAAGGGAGAAGGCAGGGCCTCCCTGACCCCTCCCCCTGCCATAGGAAACTGAGGCAGCCACCCTGTACTGGACCTGGGCACCCTGGGGGGACAAGGGAGACTGTGTTCAGAATGGATACTATCCCGGGATCCACTTCCAGCACTCGGGCCCACAGGTGAGCTACAAACTCCAAAGCAGTGGAGGGACTCCCAACTCCGTCCAGGTGGGTCCACCCAGCCCAACCTGTCCCTCTGCTGAGCTGAGAAAGACAGCATGTGACAGACAGCACGGTGTCCAAAGACAGACCTCCCCAAACTCTGCTGACACTGCAGGTCTGCTCAGATCCCCTAACTGTACCAGCATCCTGGGTACCAAACCCCACCCCAGACTATGAGCAGCCATTCTGCTGAGATTCAGCTGCTGAACTGAGCAGGTGGGGACACCACATGCCAGGGAGAGGGCAGCCTGCAGGACACTCCCACCCTAGGATTTGGGGGTGGAAGCAGGGCACAGGAATCTGCTGGCTGCACCCAGCCTTGTCCCCTCCCCTGTGTGGGGGGGAATGAGCCCAGAAGCCCACACCTGCTACTCATCATCTCCTGTGTACCAGGCAGGTGGGGAGAGCACCTGGCCCCGCCCCTCCCTGGATGGGTGCGCATGTACAGTCAGGCCTGCATGTTCGTGTGTGCACATCAGCTGTGAGCAAGTCACATGGAGATGGTGTGTGTGCGTGTGTGTGCACACGTGCAGCGGGGTCTGCAAATGGGACTGGAACTCTCATGTATGTTTGTGGATAGCAATGTGAATGTGTACAGGTATAGCTGTGGACAGGGGTGTGAATGTACATGTACACATGTGGGCAAGGACTTGAGGGTTAGCACACTTGGGCAGGCCAGGTAAAGGCAATGGTGTGGAAACGTGCATGGGCCCAGGCAGCGTGTTGGAGACTAAGCCAGAACATGTGCGTGCCCAGGCAGATCGGTGATACTTGGGCTTTCACTTAGCAGGAGCTGGGCCAGCTGCCACAAGTCCCCGGAGGAAAAACTGTCAGAACCTGACCCCAGATGACCCGATGGGGGCCAGATCTAGGGTCCCGTCCCGCCCCCCTGGCTATTGCAGACTTCCCTGATTTCAGCGTTGAAAGTGCTGCATCCCCAGAGAACCTCAGGCCTGAATCTCATACACACTGTGTGTGGGTGTGAGGGGTGGAGTGGGAGTCTCCTTAGGGAAAAGAATACAAAGCACAAACGCAATATTAGGGCTGAGGATGGGGCGTGTGCCTGAGGGGCCAGAGGACCAAGCTTCAGTAGTAGCTTCAAGGTCACCTCTCAGCCCTGAAAGATTCCACTGTGCAGCCCAGGAATCCAACCTCTGCCCCTCCCTGGTGGTGAGCAGAGGCAAGTGGCTTAGCCTCCGCAGGTTTAAGTCTTCCCTCCCTAAAGCACAGGCCTTTCCCCCTCTTCTCAGGATCCCTGGGCAGGAAGGCTGGGCCTCTCTCTTGGGGAGCACATGCTCCATGCGCACCCTGGGAGGTAACCTGGCTCAAGTGACTGCCCTGCACCCGCCTCCATGAACAGCCCAGCCCAGAAAAGGGATGAGGGCTCCACTTCAGGTACAGCAGAGTCGGGGGTGGGGACCAGCAGAGTGAGGCTCCAGCCCAGGGAACCGGACCAGCAGCCGGGATGGTTCCCGGCCCCACTGCTTCTCCCAGTCCCCAGCCAGCCAGGACGGGAGCAGCCCTGGAAGTAACCTGCAGGGACGGGCACCCTCCGGGGTCAAGGCTTGGCGCAGCCCAAAGGGAAGCGAACCCTGCCTTCACACCATCGTCCTCCTTCCGAGGACTTGAACAGCGGGTCTGCAGCTCGCTGGGCTCCCGCGCTCAGCGGACCGGCGCGGAGCGGGGCAAGGGACAGACTGCTGCCGGCACATGCGGCTGAGACTGGAGCCGCGGGCCTGGAGTGGGGCTAGGATGGGCTGAAATCCCACGGAGGGTCCTGGGGCCTGGACACCTGGTCGCCTCCGCCCCTGTTCTTTGTGGTCTGCTCTGCGTACCCTTCGGGGGTCCCTGGAGCCTGTGTGATTGCTAAGGCAGCGCCCCTTTACGCCCCCTTCCCCGTCCCCATTCTCCCAACCGGTTACTTGGCCCAAGGCCGTTTCCTATGCTCCACTGAGAGGGGAGTCAATTCCCTGAACCGTAGAGGAAGTTCATGAAAAACTCCAGGAGAGCCCGAACCGCCTTCACCTGGGACTTGGGGACCCCGGGAAACCCGGTCTTCCAGCGGCCTCCTTGGGCATCCTCCACTCCACCACACAAGGTCTCGACCGGGCTTGGTCTTTGGCTCCCGGCTCCCAGAAGTGGGTGTGGCGACTCGGAGGCGGGGCGAGCCGGGCTGGCCTGGCCACGCCCAGCCCGGGATGCCGCTGGGTCTGCGGAGGCTCGGGTGCAGCCAGCCGCGTCCTCCGCCTACCGCCCGCCTGCCCAGGTCCGCTGGGTGCGCGGGCAGGGAGTGCTCCGCTCCGGCTCTGCGCCCGCCCGCGGAGACATGGGGCGCTCCCCGCCAGCCGCCGCGGTGCTGGGGCTGCTGCGCTTCTGCCTGGGTGAGTGGCCGGGACGGGAGGGGAGCAGGACGCAGTCCCGGCCGTGCGCTCCCACCGTGGGACGGGCGGGCGCCTCCCCAGAGGTTTGGGGTTGAGACCCTCGCTGCCTGCGCCTTTGGACGCCAAGACAGCCTCTCTGTGCACCGCCCTTAGCCTGCCCTCAGATGGGGTAGGATCCCCGTTTCCAGGAGGCCCAGATCGTGTGCGTCCTTGGCAACTCAGCCTAGCTCAAGCTCCCGAAGGTGGGTGGTGGGGACCCTGGGACACTGGAGCTGGGAAAACCAAGCCCTCTCCTGTCGCACGCGCGGTCCGAGCATGACCGTGGGTTCGAATCTCTCTCCTGCATCCAGCTCTGTCTGTACCGTCTCTGTTCCCTTCCTAGCCCAGGCCAACTTCGCCCCTCACTTCTTCGACAACGGAGCGGGCAGCACCAACGGAAACATGGCCCTGTTCAGCCTCCCGGAGGACACCCCCGTAGGTGAGGGAGTAGCCCCCACCCCCTCAGGTGTCCCCAGGAGGCGCTCACGCCTGCCACAGGGACCCAACCCGCGACCCCTCTGACCCCTAGGCGGTGCTAATCACCCGGCTGTGCGCTCCCCTGGGCACCCTGTTTGTGCCGGAATCCCCCAGGGCCCTGGAAGGAAAGGAGATCACCGCTACCATGGCGACTAAGCCGGGCCAGTCCTGGGGGCCAGCGCTAGGGCCCAAAGAGGAGCGGCCCCGGGGCTAGGCAGTGGTGGGCAGCACATTGGAAAGACCCTGATCTTTTGGGGACTGCGACCTCCAGCAAATGTATTTACCTCCCTGAGCCTCAGCACTATGGGCTTTAAAACCATCCAAGAATTTCCAGCTGGCTCAGATGCTACCGAAGTGAGAGGAGGAGAAAGAGAAGGGTTGGAACCCTGCTCTTCTCCCTGCCAGGCCTGAGAGCTGGGAAAAGAGGGAGTGAGTAAGGAGAGGCCAGTCGGGCTGGGGTGCACAGCAACCCTGGTCCCCTCTCTTGCCTTAATGGCTCTCCTTTCTCCCCCTCTTCCCACCCAGGGAGCCCACAGCCTCCCTCCTGGAAAAGGAGTCCTTCCAGGCACAGGGAAATACAGAGTTCCAGTTAGGTGGAGCGACCTGAACACCTCTGTAATCTGCAGTGCAGATTACCATCAGCAGAGCCGCTGATAACACTCCATAGGGTGAAGAATAAAGATAACAAATGGGGCACAGCCAGCCAGGAGCTCCCAGTCCAGGGCTGCATCTTTGGCAGTGAATTGAACATTCACTCCATAAACAATCAGGTCCTTGGTTCCGTGCTGCTGCTACTCCTAGGAAAAGTGATGTACCGGGTTATAGGTCCTCCTGCTGTGTCTCCCTTCAGGCTCTCATGTGTACACCCTCAACGGGACAGACCCCGACGGAGACCCAGTCTCCTACCACATCAGCTTTGACCCCAGCGCTAGAAGCGTCTTTTCCGTTGACCTCAATTTGGGAAACATCACCCTGGTTGAGGAGCTGGACAGAGAGGTACGGGGTGTGTGTGGGGGGGTTTCGGGCTGTGCCTGCTGGGCGTAGAAACTCCTCTGGCCTGGGAGGTCCACTTAAAACATGCTGGTGTGCACCAGACCCTCCTTGCAGAGTAGGGGACAGAGGAGGGTCTCCCACCCAGCAGCTTGGGGCTACTTCCCATTACAGAGCAGACTTTGAAAGCACCTTCCAGCCCTGCTAATCTTTTAAGCACGTACAATTAGAAGCCTGCACTTAGAGGCTTCTAAAAATGCCTCGGAATGTAGTTTTCAAGCCTACCCTGGGAGAAGCCTGTAAACCGCGGGGAACTCGGGCCTCAGTTGGGGCTGGAAAGAGGGCTGAGGGAGCAGGGCTGGGCCTGGAACAGCTGCTCACCTCTGCAGGCCTCTGAGAAGGGGGTGACAGGGTGTGGGTTTCCTTTCTGGTTTGAGATCTCAGCTTGGGGCTTCTGCCAGCTCTGTTTCAGTGACAAAATCCAGGAGCCACAGGAGAGGGCAGAGAAAGGAAAAGGAAGTCTTGGACACTCAGACATCTGGGGCTGTGGGTCACAGAGATGGGGACTGGGACTGCTAAGACCACGTGTGCACGTGCACGCGCTCGCGCACACACACACCCTGGGAGCTCATGGGCACCTAACATACCCAAAACCCAGATCTCTGTAGAACTCCAATGTGGGGAGGTGTGGCAAGATGAGGGGAGAAAAATGCTAAAGAGAAAGGAAGCCTCCCTCTAAAATGCCGAGGTCTTTCTCCCCTTGTGTGAGCTGACAGTATTTGCTGTTGGAGCTGCTACAGTCCCTCTGGGTCTAGGGGAACCCCTGACCACCACAATGAGGTCTGTAGCTGTTGGATGCAGCTATCAACCATGACAGTGGCACTGTGGCCACCACCTCACTCTGTTCTGGGGCTCCCTCAGCCCCTGCCCAGGCCTCCTCTGAGGGTGAAGGGTGGGCTTCACTCCACCTGGAGCCCCATGGTGTGTCACAGTGTGGGGCACTCACTCAGTTCCTTTGTTTCACAGAGGGAGGACGAGATCGAAGCAATCATCAGCATTTCTGATGGTCTGAACCTGGTGAGTGGGCCCTGAGCCACCCAGCAGTGTGAATGTAGCACTAGGCTCCCTGCCAGCCCTCATGGGGGCTCCCTGGTAAACCGGCCAGCACGACCTGCCTGAAGTGCCCACAGCAGGGTGCACAGAGGCCAGAGGAGAGGGAAGGAGGGAGGGGGACAAGCCCTCTCTCAGCTGAGCTTCGACCAGGACCAGCCCACATTCCCAGCCTCTCCTCCAACCTCCTGCCTGCCTGTCACCTAAGGCAAACCCCTGGCCACCAGGCTCTCCTCACGCCCGCTTTCTGGGGAACTGCAGCTGCCCCAGAGGCTCCCCAGCCACTCCACCCCCAGTGCAAGCCCATCTGGCCACTCCTCAGCTCTGAAAGTGCCAACAGCTGGGCCCAGCACCCTTGGGATGAAATCCAAGCTTCTCAGAGCACCCCGAGTCCCACCTGTCGGGTGCCATCTGCCTCAAACAGCTTTCTCCCCGACCCACCGTGCCAGCACCTCGCTAGAGTCAGTCCTTGCTGTGTGTCTCAGCCTTCTTTGCCCTTGCACGCGAAACCCCTTCTTCTCAGCCACCTTTCCACCTCCGCCCTCTGGCAAACATGCCGCAGGCTCAGTGTCTCCCCCTGGAAGTCTCCCTGCTATATGCCACCGCTGCTCGGGTGCAATGCCTCTTCTGGGGCCCCTGGATGCTGCACTCATGGCCCTGCAAAAGGCATTTACCCCGGACCCAGGGTGTTGGGTGCCCTCAAGCAGTAGGAGCCACCATGGCTGCAACAAAATAATGCACCGTCAGAAGGGAGCCTGAATGAGTGACAGAAGGGAGAGGGCAGGAGGGAAAGCGAGGGTAGGGGACATATCTCGGCTGTTAGAGGTCACCGTCCCTTCGTCCCCTGGACAGTGTCACTGCCCTGACTCCAGACCCCTCTGCCCCTTCTCAGGTAGCAGAAAAGGTCACCATCCTGGTGACAGATGCCAATGACGAGGCGCCCAGGTTCACCCAGGAGCCTTATGTTGTCCTGGTGCCTGAGGTGAGTGAGGGCCCATGGCTTCCCTGGGCCTGCCTGTGACCTGGTCCTTGCCTCTGTGTCCTTCCCCACCTCTGTCACCATGCTCCCCCATTCACCTCTACTCTGAAGGCAACCCCATCCTCACTCGCCATCATAAGCATAGCGCACACTGTCCTGCAGAGGACAGGCATTTGTCTCCTTGTCCCTGGCCAGCGCCAGGAATTTTCAAGGTTTAGTGTTTGCTAATTCAGTGGGGGGAAGGGATTTCACTCTTGCGCTGTACCGAATGTGGTCTTTGGTGGTGCTAATTGTGACTGTGTTTGTGCTCTGTCTCCTCAAGTGGAACTGCCACATCATGTGCAAACCCTCCCTCTATTCGGGATCTTGGTTTTCTAACCCGGTCCCCTTGAGGGGCCCTCAGCCTGTCCACACACCTCTGCTCCTCCTTTCTTCCCCTCTTCCCTCCCTCTTCTTCAGTATGTCTGTCACCATCCCTCCCACCAGCCAGTCACACAGTCACTGTCACCTTCTCACCCCTCAGCCTTTCACTGCCTGGTCCCGCATCTGCAGTCATACGACACAGTCACACGCCATAGTCACACTCCACTGTCACATTCCCCGACCCCACTGCACCATGGCCCCTGGGCCTCTGCTCCCTGAGCACCATGTCACTGCCCCAACCCTTCCCTGTGGCTGTGACCCCTTAGGACACACCTGCTGGAAGCAGCCTCTTTAAGGTGCATGCTGTGGACAGGGACACAGGCTCCGGAGGCAGCATCACCTACTTCCTGCAGGTAAAGTGGACACACAGTTCCGCCACACACTGGGCTGGAGGGGAAGCTAGATGTCTTTCAGCCCTGGGGTTTTGAGATCAGGGCCTCCACACACAGAGAAGATAAAAGCACCCCTCCATGGACTGCGGTGAGGGTTAGATATATGTAAAGCTCCAGTGGCAGCTGGGAGGTCCCAGGATCACCTCAATGAGGCAGAGGCTCCTGCCTCTCCCGGTGGGTGCTGCCTGCTTACTTGGTGTGGTTAGAAGGCCCCCATCTCTCTATTCCTGTGATTCCTGAGCCTGTTTCCTCTGGAGGAGGACAGTACACTGCAACCCCTCCTGCCTGCTAAAACTTCCGGGTCAGAGCGTAGTCAGGTCCAGCTGAGCAGAGGAAAGGCCAAGACCACTGAGAGGGCCCGTGCTGGTGTTGCTTGAGAGTGTGGGAGCTTAGCAGGAGACTTGAGATCAGAAGGGCTGTGCCTAGCAGTGGGAGGCTCATCCCTGAGGTGGTGAGGACCCCTTCAGTAAGCACGGTGGGCATTTTCTGGCAGCCTGGGTTCCTTCCTGAGGTCTAGTGGCTCCCCAACCCTTCCAGAGCCTCCATCCCACCAAATTTGCGATGGACCACCACAGCGGTGTGCTGCGCCTCCAGGCTGGGGCCACTCTGGACTATGAGAAGTCCCGGACCCACTTCATCACCGTGGTCGCCAAGGTAACAGGGGAAGGGCCAGGAGCACCAGTCTCTCCTCGTTGGACTGGAGCACAGCTGGGTTGGGTGGAGTAGTTAGGGGAGTAGCAGGGAGGCTGGGAACCAAGTGGCAAGGGAGGCAGCTCCTGGGGCACATACCTTCCAGCAGGCTGGGCTCCCTGCTCTGGAGAGGCCACAGTCCCTATGTGGCCAGAGCATGTGACCCTTTAAGACTCATGGCCAGGGTCCCTTAGGCAGGACCTGGTGGCCCTAGCATGGACACTCCTGTCCCTCTCCACAGCCTGGCCTCTGGGCACCTCCACCTCTCTGGCCCAACTTGTCCACCTCATCCCCTCTCTGCAGGTGACCAGTTGCCCTTTTTAAGCCTCAGTTTCCTCACCTGCCTGTCCCACAAGCTTAACAATGTCCCTTGCATTTCTAAAACACATGGTAAGGAGCTGGAAATCTGCAGGTGCTTAGCTCTGGGCCTAGCAGTTTATTTTGCAAAAATACCACACTTTGAAGCCTCCTCCTTTGTCTCTGTATCCAAAGGAAACAACTGCATGCTGGGCACTGGCTGAAACCCTGCTCACATTGTCTCATTTAAGTCCTAAAGCCCTGTGAGTCCAAAACTAACTCCAGGGCTACAGAAACCATGCTGGCCACAGAACTCAGAGCAGGCAGCTGCTTCTTGGTTCACTCATGCAATGTACTCCTGAGCCCCACCTTCCTCCTGTCACCCTGATTCCTCCCCAGGACGGCGGAGGCAGGCTACGAGGGGCCCCTGTGGTGTTCTCAGCCACCACCACGGTCACGGTCAACGTGGAGGATGTTCAGGACATGCCACCCGTCTTCGTGGGCACCCCCTACTATGGCTATGTGTACGAGGACACCCTTCCGGTGGGTGGCTGCCCCCTTAGCTAGGGTCCCCTCCGACACCTCCTGACCTCGTGATTCCCTGGGCTCCTGCTGGGGAGTCCTGGCTCCCTCCACCACCAGCCCTGCTGTGCTGCCCTCCTCTCACAGAGCTAGGTCTGGACACATCAGGCTCAGGCCAGGAGGGGACTCTGCAGCTCTGAGAAGGGAAGGGGAGGGGCGCCCAGCCTGGTGTGGGGAGCATCGCTGGGCACAGACAGAGGCCTTGAGCTGGACTTGTGCACCCCCAAAAACCCCTTTCAAACAACACTCAGGGCATCACAGGATGAAACCCTCATTCTGAGACTCAGCAGTTGAGGTCCTGTACCCAGCCACACCCTCATTTCGGGTGGAGGACGGTAAAAGTGGAGGGGGCAAAAGGCGAGTGTGGCATGTCAGTAGGAAGCAGGAGCCTGGGGCTCTCCAGGCAGCTTGTGCTCTGTCCCCTTGGGCCAGGACATGGCGGGAACCACTGTTGCCCCATCCCTGCTGCTGGGAGCTGCCAGCAGAACTGGCCCATACCCTGGGGCCACTCAGATGCTTTGGCCAGGTAGGGCATCTCCCTCTATGGGATGGGCTGTGTCCGGGGAGAACTGGTCCCAGCATCCCCATCAGCCTCAGTGTAACCCTCTCCCCAGGGCTCAGAGGTGTTGACGGTGGTCGCCGTGGATGGAGACCAGGGCAGACCCAACCACATTGTCTACAGCCTCGTGAATGGTGAGTCTGGGCAGCTCCAGGGCTGCGGCCCTGACTCTCTGGTGACCAAAGTGAGGTTCCCAAACCCTCTGGGTCCTGGACCCCCGCCTATAGGACCAGGAGTGGCAGGGCCCCTCAGGAGTGACCAGTGTGCTCCCTGCCTGCTTGTAGTTGGGCACAGCTGCAGGGAGAACAGCCCTGGGGCCTGGCAGTGACACGGGCTGCTTCAATTTCCATTCCCTGTACCTGGGCACCATGTCGCTGATGGCAGTGGGTGGCAGCATTTCTTATGCTCTTGGAATTGCTGCTTTCCCATTCTTTTAAAGTCTAGATTGAATGCATTAAATGCGCTGAAATAAACATACAAACACATGCGCACACACACACACATATACACACACACTGGGCACCATGACTTAGAGAAAGCACATAGTATGAAACCTGTGAGCCCAACAGAAGTGAACTCAAGTCGCCACTCCATTATGTAACCTTACACAAGTTATCTAGCCCCTTTGAGACTCAGTTTCTCCATTAGCGTCACACAGGTGATGACACTATTACGTTGTATGAGGGGGCTCCGGTTTAAGCAGCATGTGGCATGACTCCCTTGCTCGCCCTGTGGCCCTGTGCTGAGCTGCAGTGCACATCTCTGTGACAGGGAGTGCTGGTGGAGCCTTTGAAATTAATGAGACATCCGGAGCCATCTTGGTCTTGCAGAGCCCTGCCCAGCTGCGCAGAGAGGCGTATGAGCTGCACGTACAGGTAACCCCCTCTAGCTGGGCCTGCCCATCAGTCTGCAGCCCTGGAAGGCTACAAAGGCGATGAGATCCAGGCCCTCCTTTCTCACTGGGGCTCAGGCTGGAGGGGAGACAGATGTTCTCCAAGAATCTCTTCCTCCATCTGGCTGTAGCAGAGGCAAAGCCAACCTTTAATGAGACAGGAGTTCACACAGGAACCGTTAGAAATCAGGAGCAGGTGGGGCTGGGGAGCAATGCCCCCAGCGAGGTCCCAACAAGCTGAGGCTGGGCAAGGGGTGGTGGGGTGGAGGGAAAGCATTTCAAGCCACACGAGCCCCAGATGCCCAGCCAGGGGACAGCCCGTGGTGTGGTAAGGACTGGAGCGGGGGCCCCCGGCAGGTAGCAGGTAGGAGGAAGGGGGGCATCCTGGAAGTGGGGGTGGAGGCCCCATGACTAGCACAGGGTTTTCCCTGGAGCAGCGTGTGTGACCTCTGCAGTCACACAGAACCATGGCGAGGAGACTCACACACCCGACTCTGCTGTTTGTTACCTTGAAGTTCTGCCCAGGAGCATGGAAGAGCCATTGGGCAGATTCCATGTAGAAAGCGCATCTGGCTGCTCAGTGAGCAGTCAATCCCTAAATATGGGAAGAGCACCCACTGGCAGAGATTTCCAGACACCAGTCCGTCCTGGCGGTGGGAAGTCAGTGTTTCTGGGTAACCCCAGGGCTCTGGGTGATTGAGTGACCCGGAGATCCAGGCTCCAGTCCTAGTCTAGCATTGGAGAACTCTGGTCTCCACTTGGCTTGGGGGTACATGGACAGAAGGCAGAGAGCTCACACAAGGAGCCAGAGGAGGAGGGGCTTTGGGGTGAGGGAAGGCGGTCACAGAAAGGAAAATTGCAAAAGCAAAAGAAGGTGGATTGCACAGAGCCAGGCAGTTGACCGGCTGTGAGGTGGTGGGGGTGGGGTCAGGAGCTGAGTAGCAGCAAATCTGTGCCACTTGGAGTGTGGGAAAGAGTGCAAGTTCAATGAAGAGTGTGGGTGCCAGGGGACGTGCTGGGGGAAACATCCACGTGTGGACACAGAGGTTCAGGACTGGGAGGAAGTGTCACATGCACTGTGAAAGGCACAGGAGGAGGGAAGGAGGTCACCCTGAGCATGGCCGGGGGAGGGGCAGTTGACCAAGTGCACAGTGCAGGAGCATCACATGCTGAGAGAGGAGCGGGTGCGGGAGACCCGGGAGGGGCCCAAGATGCCAGGGAGAGTTTGCTGACCTTAGGGGAATCGAGCCCTTGAGAGATGTAGAGGCACAAGGGAGGGACACAGCATGGGAGTCGATGTGAAGTTGGTGAGAAGGGAGGGAGTTGAGACAGCAGCCGGGGGTGTGGAGGGGCCAGGGAGAGAGCTGTTAGCCAAGCAGCCGTCTAGACCTTTGGAAGCAGGGAAAGGGGGCCTTAGGAGAGGCTCATGGGATATTTGCCGCATGGCTCGAGGTGCCTATGGCCCCCAGCCCTGGCTTTGCAGCCTGAATTAGTTAGCTAATGCTTTCTAACACGTTGCCCTGGGCTTAGTAACTTCAGACAACACGCATTCATTTTTCTCTGTGTGGATGATTTGGGAATCCACGTTCGACTTGACCAGGTCCCTGGTTCCAGGGACTCTTGCAGGGCTGCCTTCTGATTGTCAGACAGGGTTGGGGTCTCACATGGAGGCTGGATAGGGACAGACTGACTTACAGCTCTGAGGCTGCTGGGCTGACCCAGTCCTTTAATGGCTGTTGGTAAGGAGTCGCTGTTAGTTCCTGCTTCATCGAAACCAGCAAGGGAGACCCTGCCAGCAAAGATGGAAATCACAGTCTCTCATAATCTCACCATGAAGTGATGATCAAGGTCTTTGGCCAAATGTGGGCAGAAGCAGGTCGCAGGGCAGAGCTGCACTCAAGGAGAGGGGGTAACACAAGGCCGTGGACACCAAGAGCCAGGATCATGGGGGCCAGCAACAGCCCGCCTGCCACATGGCAATCGCTGCTGTCCCTACCCCAGGTGACAGAGGTCAGCTCCGCAGGGAGCCTAGCTGCCCAGGCCATGGTCCCTGTCACCATCAGAGTCGTGGACCTCAACAACCACCCACCGACGTTCTACGGAGAGAGTGGACCCCAGAACAGGTTTGAGTTGTCCATGTATGAGCACCCACCCCAGGGCGAGATCCTGCGGGGCCTCAAGATCACTGTCAATGACTCTGACCAGGTGTGTATCCTGCCCTCGGAACTAGTGGGAGGTCTGTGTCATTCCTCTTGGCTTAGGTAGCGGGACAGACAGGTCACAAAACTGCCAAAGGAGCAGAGGGGTGCTATCTAAGCAGAGGGATGCTATCTAATCTAAGGTGGTTTGCTTAGCTGAAGAGGATTTTTCACAGTTAAAAAGTGAAAACTCCACATCTTACCCTCCAGCCCAGCGTTTGTGATGTGCCCTGCCACCTCCAGACCCCGTTCAAGGCCACGTCTGTGTGTCTTTGCCTTACTTAATCCCCAAAAGCTGCTACATCTTTTTGATTCTTGATCAACTCACTTTTAGGATGAAGGACTACTTACCTTTCAGGGTTAAGGGCATATGAAGGTTCCTCATTTAGTATGAATACATAAGGTACAATAAAAAATACAGTAAATGTTTAAATCCAAAACATTTATTACATTAAAAGGCATTATTGCAGTAACACACACTGTCATTAATCACCCCCAAAAAACACTTCACATAAATACACTTATCCCATCATTTTTGCCACTTTCTGAAGCAGTTCTGGAAGTCCTCTTTCCTGAGTGTCTATTTGCACTGTCAAAGCTGTCTCAGTGTCCCAAACTGATTCAAACTTTTAGCTTTTGTGGTCATTTTGACTTTGGGGAAGAGCCAGCAGTTGCACAGTGTTAGATCCAGTGGATGAGGGCACACCATGTTTTTACAAGCTTGCCTTTCTACTGGATGACACTCAGCAGCAACATTCACCATGGATTTGATCACACCTTGTAAAGACACTCACGAAAGAAGACTTCCAGAACTGCTTCAGAAAGTAGCAGGAACTATGGGCAAGTATGGTAGAAGCAAGAGAGGGTGCTCTGTAAGGCATTCATGGCACTGTGTTCTTTACTGTAGTAAATTTGTAAACTTAAACAGTCACTGTATGTTTTGGTCAGACTGCATGTAACACGTTTCTGTTCTATTTATCTTCCCTGTTTGGTCTTTCGAAACTCCAACACCCAGGGAGCCAATGCCAAATTCAATTTGCGGCTGGTGGGACCTGGAGGCATCTTCCGTGTGGTCCCACAAACAGTCCTCAATGAAGCACAGGTCACCATCATTGTGGAGAATTCAGCTGCCATTGACTTTGAGAAGTCCAAAGTATTGACCTTCAAGGTGGGTGAGGCTTTGCACGGCCCTGAATGGGGAAGTAAGGAAGGCACTCCTGCAGCATCACCACTCCTTCTGGAGGAGACCCACTGCTATTTCTAGACCTACCCTTTTGTTCCCTGAGCCACTGCCCCTCCTGCTGGTGTGGGAGCAGGTGGTAGGCCAGGGTGAGGAGGAAGAGCGGCCCACAAACAGGCTTCTGCCAACTGCCCCCAGCCCCAGCCTCACTGAGCTCTGACTTCTAAACTGAAGCTCTCTCAGAGTGCAGGGGTTGGGACTCAGTGGGAACCACCCTTGTCATTGCTGTGCTAAGAGACAGAGAGGGTAAACGGGTAATGCTCCTAAGCTGGGCAGGCGTGGTGGCACACACCTGTAATCCTAGCACTCTGGAAGGTGGAGATGGGAAGATCGCAAGTCTGAGCTCAGCCTGGTCAATTTAGTGACTTAGTAACAGCCCACATCAAAACTAAATAAAGAAGGTTGATGATGTAGCTCAGTGTGGAGCACTAGATTCAATCCCCAGACCACAAAAAAATAAAATAAAATAAATTATCATTTATGAAAACAACCAACAGATAAAACTCTTAGGAATTACCATAACAAGAAACCTGTATCCCTTAAATGATTAAACCAATGCAAAGTTTCCCACAGGGATATAGAGAAGGCAAGGCATGAAGAATGGAATGGTGTATACTTCTTTTTAAGTGCAAATTTTCTGTAAGTTAATAAAAAAATTCAAGCCAGGTGTGGTGGCGCACACCTGTAATCCCAGCACTTGGGAGGCTGAGGCAGGATCGTTGCAAGTTCGAGGCCAGCCTGGGCTACAGAGTGAGCTCAAGGCCAGCCTGCACTGCATAGTGAGACCCTGTCTCAAAAAGACAAAAAATTAAAAAATTCAAAACAACACACCAGTTGACTCTTGCCTATAATTGTATTAAGGTTTTTATCTGGAGAAATAAGAAAAGAATACGTGGGTCAGTAGAAAAGAAACCAGAGCCAATACAATTGGGAACGGTAGGAAGGTTGGCAGTGGAAGCCACGAGGGAGGGAGGAAAGGTGTGCGCCTTGCAGGGCAGCAGGAAGTGCCCTGGCAGCTGAGAGGCGGTGGGCACTGGTCCAGTTTGAGGGAGACAGGCCTGGGAGGGCTCTCAGCAGGTGTCAGACACACCCTCGGTTTTCCTCCCTTCCCCAGCTCCTGGCCGTTGAAGTGAACACCCCGGAGAAGTTCAGTTCCACAGCAGATATTGTGATCCAGCTCCTGGACACCAATGACAATGTCCCCAAGTTCACCTCTCACTACTACGTTGCCAGGATCCCTGAGAATGCCCCGGGGGGCTCTAATGTGGTGGCAGTCACGGTAGGTTTGGGTTTGGCCAAGGCCCTGAGGGTGGTTAGGGAGCCTGTGAAGTGTAACACACTTGGGTTCCATTTAGATCGAACAGCCCAGTCTCTAACTGTCACCTTGCACAAGCTGCTTGACCTCTCCTAGCTTCTGTTTCTTCATCTTTGCAAAGGGGTGACTTCATCTCATTAACATGCAGTGAGGATGTGGGTCTGGACCCTTGGCCCAGCACACCAGACCCGTCCCTTTTCATTCTCATTCATAACAGAGAGACAAATACTCTTCAGGTCTTGTAAACCCTTGGGCTCTGCTAACACTGGAGGCACCCTTGGAGGAAAGCACAAGCCCAGGGCAGCCTCTCAATTCTTGCCCAGCTGGGCAGTCATGACTCCCCTTGCTTCCCATTGAAAGCAGCTCTCTGCTCCAGGAGCTCCACGGTGCCCTGGCCACAGGACAGGTACCACTGGGAGCCCTCTCTCTTCCAGGCTGTGGATCCAGATACAGGACCTTGGGGCGAGGTCAAATACTCCATCTATGGGACAGGAGCAGACCTGTGAGTACATCCAGAACCACAGACCAAGGTGGAGCAAGGGACTTAGGAGGCTGTGAGTGGACAGGATCTCAGCTAAAAACAGGGGGACCTGAAAGGGACAGCACCAGGGGCTGGGAAGGCGACCAAGGTGCAGGATGGGAAGGAGGCGAGGAGTGAAGGGAAGCAGTGGCAATGCTGAGGCAGAGGTATGGGGACACTTGGGAGGTAACTGGGAGAGAAGAAAGTCTTGGTCACAGTGTGGAGCTAGGACCCATGGCTTCAGGAACCAGACCAGCAGAAATGGGCTGCAGCAGGAACAGGCCATGGAGTTAGGGAGAGGGATGCAATTGGGGTCATTAAGCTCAGGAGCAATAGGTGGGTGAGGAGTCAGACTGAAAGGATGGGAGACAGGAGGTGGGCACCTTGGAGAAGCTGCATGGTGTCCTCCTGCTGCTTTTTGGAGGCAGCTCATCCTTGCAGGCCCACACCTATGCATGTGTGCACTGCAACTGCATGACTGTCTCTGCATGCTTGTGCATGTCTCCACCCTTGTGCCTGTGCTCTCTGCCCAGCAGGTTCCTGATCCACCCCTCCACGGGGCTTATCTACACACAGCCCTGGGCCAACCTGGATGCTGAGGCCACAGCAAGATACAACTTTTATGTGAAGGCAGAGGATATGGAAGGCAGGTACAGCCTGGCTGAAGTATTTGTCACTCTGCTGGATGTCAATGACCACTACCCCCAGTTTGGGAAGAGCATCCAGGAGAAGACCATGGTGCTGGGGACCCCAGTGAAAATTGAGGTAGGTTTTAGGCAGCTGAGCATCCTTAAACCTTCTCCTAGCAGCTGCAAGGGAAACCAAGGAATAAGAACTTCATGCATGCATCAGTACTTGCGCATTCCTGAGATGGTGAGCTGCCTTCAATAAAATGTGTTGGATTTGTATTCTCCCCATGGCAATAGATTGCAATGAGTTTTATAGAACCTTATCTCCACTCCAACCCAGAAAACCTCTCTGAGAAGAAGACAGCAAATGAAAAACATAAAGCACAAGCAGCCTAAGAGTTTGTCTTGCCTTAGTTCCTATAGCTGGTCTTTTTGCCCTCAAAGCAATGCACTTCCTACCAGGCATCAGTGTTTTCCCAGTGTGGATAAAACATGAACTCTGGAACCCACAGCCTTGACTTCTCATCCATCTCCCCTCCTCTGTCTCTCTCCTTGGACCAGTCACTTAACATTGAAGCTTTTATTTTTGCACTCATGATATGGGTTCACCAGTACCCAGTTCCTAGACTTGTTCGTGCAACACACATATAAGGCCAAGGCTAGACCCTGGATCATACATAATAGGTCATACACTCTGTCCTTTCCCATCTCTACCTACTCCAAGTAGGGTCAAGATTACTTCCTGTCACCCCAGCAAGCCCCGTGTCCTATACTGACTTTGCCATCGTTCACAAAGTCTTTCTTCCAAGCCCAGCTCTATCTGTCCCTCCTCACGCACAGGCCACAGACCAGGATGCAGAGGAGCCCAACAACCTAGTGGACTATTCCATCACCCATGCAGAGCCAGCCAATGTGTTTGACATCGATGCACACACAGGAGAGATCTGGCTCAAGAACTCCATCCACTCCTTGGATGCCCTGCACAATATCACACCCCGCGGGGACCGCACGTGGTCCCTGGAGGTGCAGGCCAAGGACCGAGGCTCTCCGTCCTTCAGCACCACAGCCTTAATCAAGATTGACATCACAGACACTGAGGTGGGTGCAAAGCCATGGCCAGGGAAAGGGGGCCGAGGGCCAGACCAGGCCTCTCTGCAACATGGGCAAAGAGAGAATGACTGTCTCCCACCTCCTCCAAAGGATGCACAGTGCTGTCACAGGTTATTGGTGCTGTTAAACATGCAGACCTGAGAGTCATGTGGATATTCTGGTCTCCACACTTATTAAAGATGTGACCTGCCGGGTGTGGTGGTACATGCCTATAATCACAGCATTTGGGAGGCTGAGGCAGGAGGATTGTTGTGAGTTTGAGACCAGCCCAGGCTACAAAGTGAGCTCAAGGCCAGCCTGAACTGCATAGCAGAGACCCTGTCTCAAAAAGACAAAAAAAAAAAAATGTGACTTAAGGCTTTGCTAAGCCCCCAGTGCCTTTTGGGGGACATGGAAAGAATGGTGACTCTTTCATGTAGTACTGAAAGGTAGAAGTAAAATCATATGTAGTTTTCAGCTCAGTGTCTTGTGCAGTCATCACTTGAGGAGTTCTGATAAGTCAGGGATGTCTGGTTCCTTCATATACAAAGGGAAGCGATAGCCTACTCTCTCAGGAACCGAGTCCAGGAATGCAGGAGTCTGGAATCAGAAGGAGGTTTGTGATCCTATTCTGCTCAAGTGTGTTGTTCTAGAGGATGGCTTGAACTATGCTTTTGGTGTGCATTTTTCCATAAAGAAGCCTGTGGTGCTTAGGTTCTCATGGCAGTGGCAAACAGAAAGACCAAAACATCACCCAGGATTTGTAGGCAGATTTATTTAACATTGACAGGCCTGACGGAAACAGTCCCTCAAAATATCAAGCCCCAATCTCTGGTAATGTAAGACTTTATAGGGTTTGCAAGCAAGAAGTACAGAAGCAGAGTATTTGGCAGTTATTGACTGGTTACATCTTAGCTCACTACTACTGATTGGCCTAAAAGAAAACTATATCATATACACTGCATACTAAGACAAGTTTGAACTCCAGGCAGGCTCGGAGTTACAGGAAGCATACAGGTTCAGGGTAGGGGCAAGCTTGGAATTTCAGAAAGCAAGTGCTTGAGATAACATGGAGTTTAGGGTGCAGTTGGTTAGATGGTTGGTTAGATAAGGGAAATATGTAGCAGGTGTTGGCAGAAGACAGGAAGGCAAAGCTGCTCAGGGGAGTAGCTACTTGCAGGAAATTTAACTCTGAAAAGTTAACTCTCTGTTTTCCTCTTCACTCAAAGAGGTGCCTTTGAGCAGATAAATCTTACCAACACATCAGGTTTGAGGAGCTCATCCCCTGTCCCCCACCATCCTGCTCTCTGGGAACAGATGAATGTAGGGGTGCCCTGTCTTCCAGACGCTGTCCCGAGACCCCATGACTGCCTTCCTGCTGCAGACTAAGGACAACCCCATGAAGGCCGTGGGTGTGCTGGCTGGGGTCATGGCCATTGTTGTGGCCATCACCGTCCTCATCTCCACAGCCACTTTCTGGCGCAACAAGAAGTCCAACAAGGTCCTGCCCGTGCGCCGTGTCCTCCGGAGGCGGCCCAGCCCTGCACCCCGCACCGTCCGCATCGAGTGGCTCAAATTCAGGAAGGCCAAGACCGCTACCAAGTTCATGCTCAATGAGGAGCCCCCCAACAAGACCTGCGACAACAGCAGCCCAGGAGCCCCGCCGCCCCCCAAAGCTCCAGCTCTCCCTCCACCCCCTAGAATGGTACCTGACACAGGTGCCCACTGGACAGTGCCTACAGTCTCTGGGTCCCTCGCTCCCCAGAAACCCCAACAGCCACCCAAGCCCCAGGCTGTGGGAAGCCCTGTCAGGTCCTCCATGGTCTCTGAGCTGAAGCAGAAGTTTGAGAAGAAGAGTGTAGAGAAGAAGGCTTACTTCTAGGGGGAGCCCTGTGGCCCTGCCTTCCTTTGCCCTGGCCTGACCACGCCACTGCTTCCACGGTGCCCCCCACCCTGTCCTCCTGAAGGTCACCCCTGCCTGGGCAGGGCTTTGAGCAATGGGGCTCTCTGGTGATAAAATTTGCAACTGTGCCCCATCACCTATGTCCGGGGCATGGCTTGAGGGATCCCAGTGTCCAGAAGCTGCTGTCTGCATCTCTTCACCAGCACCTCAGGGCTCTGCTAGTCCTCCTGTGGGCTCATCATCCACAGTCAAGGAGTGATTGTGGCCAGAAAAGGCCAGCAAGCATCTGGATCCTGAAGCCTGAGCAAACCTGCAGGCCACAGGAGAGCAGATCTGGGGCAAGCAGCAAGCAGAGAGGCCCTGAGAACTCACGCTGACTGCAGAGCCTCGCCCACAGCCACGGGAACCATAAAGCTTGGCGTCCAGGGAGATCTTGGCCCCTGCATACCCAGCAGGCCCAGAACTCTGGCTGTGTGGGATGGGCTTGGCCTGGAGCACAGCAGATGTCCCCAGCCAGACCGCCTGGGCCCGAGAGCTGGAGGTCAGTGGGAAGAGCATCAGGACCCTCTTTAAAGGACGGGAGGTAGAGACAAGTGTTGAGATCTGGGCACTTATGCTTTTACCCAGCTCTCTGTTCACATTATGTAACTTTGGGGAAGGTGCTTTTTGTTTTTGAGATGGGGTCTTGCTGAGTTGCCCAGTCCAGCCTGAAACAGGAGATCCTCTTGCCTCAGCCTCTCTAGCAGCTGGGATTACAGGTATGTGCCACCCTGCATAGCTTTGGGAAGCTGTTTAAACTCCCTCATCATCATCTTCCTCATCTGTAAAATGAAGGGAGTAAGCCCTGTAAAAACAGCAATGTGAGGGTTTTAACCCTACGCAGTCAGCATCAAAGTTTTTGGAGCAATCCCTCCCAGAAGAATTAGACCCTCTCTGATGCTCTCCTAAGTGCCCCCAGGGGGTCCTGTGCTGTGCAGGGGAGCAGCAAAGCAGAGGATGGCTTTGCCCTCGCCTTCCCACCTTCCTTTCCTTCTCCCTCAGCTCCACACACTGCCAGAGAGAACAAGTGTCGGGCAGCAGTGTCCAGTCCACAGTTTGCCCAGTGCCATAGTGGGGAGCAGTTTGCCCAGTGCTGTAGTGGGGAGCAGTTTGCCCAGTGTCCTAGTGCGTTGGTAGCAGTTCTAGTCTGATGGCCCCTAGCTCTTTCGAGTGTTCCTCTAGCTGGGGTGTGACAGTCTCCCTAGGAAAGAAATCCTGCAGGGCTGCCATGGTTAATTCAGAGAGGTTCTGACCCTGTTGAGGATGTCTTCATGTGTGGGCACACGTGCCCATGCGCGCGCGCGCACACACACACACACACACACACAGGGAGAAAACGGGGGCACTTTCTTGCATTTGCTCCACCCCCAAATCCACGCTGTACACTGTGCCAGTGATCTGTGTGGACAGAGGCAATGCACATGTGGCTTCCTTGGTGTGCCATGTCTCGAAGTGTTACTGAGATGTGCCCGTGTGCACAAGCCTTGCCGGGCATCTGCAGTCCCTGACACACACAGTATTAAGGAGCACCGGCTTTGGTGCACCGTATAGATACTTCCCAGCCCATGTTTCAGGAGAGACCTGGTCCAAGTTTACCTCTCCGGGGAGTACAACAGCCCTACCACATGCATGCAATCGACCTCTTTTGTAAATCATAAATAAAGTCTGTAACCTGAAGGACAAGCTGACCTCCTGCTGCTGCTTTCGGTTGTGTTGCCGGGCTTACAGAGAGCAGTCCTCCTGACCCATGGCCGGGTTTGGCCTGCCTGGGGCTCCTCCCAGCTTCTCCAGTGGGTGAATGCACCCCTGGATCTGACTGTGGTGGAGGCTACAAAATTTGGTCCAGACTGCCTGTGTGCATGTCAACAGGAGCACATCTGCAGACCCATCTACCTGACCATGGCCCAAGCCAAGCTTGGAGTGGGCTTTTCTTCCCAGGCAAGGCTGCTTGGCAAGGAAGGGAGTGTGAGCTAGAAATAATGGGCCCCAGTGTAGCCCAGCAGGGGCAGCAACTGGGAAGCCATCAGAACAAGGAAGTGGTTTGTCTCTGGGCCAGTTGGTCACCAAGATCTCTGAGCTGGAAACCATGTCAGCATGTGGACCTAGGATGGAATTGGGCTCTGGGACATGCCTAGGAACTTGACCTCTCAGAGCCACCAACAGGGAAAGCCACACTGGAGGAGGAGGGCTCCGCCTCACCAATAGGGTTGACAAATGTGGTCAGCGCTGGGAGAAACACCAAAGAGTCAGGCCAGCCACTGTGGTAGCGGATGGGGAGTTGAGGGGCTGGCCCACAAAGTCAGGCCTCCTGGTAGAGAGCTGCAAGGCAGGAACAAAAGCTGGGCAGGGCCTCCCACAGCTGGGCCCTGGGAAGTGAGCACTAGTCCCACACATAGTCAGTACCTGTGTCTCAGAGACCTGCAGTCATTCCCCAAGGCCTTTTGCGGAGCTCAGACTTCTGGCCACGTGCAATAATAAAACACATTTACAAATCAGCAGCCCTCGGTCTGCATTCAGGGCGTGCCACTGCAGTGACTGTGGGGATGAGACCAAGTCTTCTGGGCTTCACTTTTCTCATCCATACAGGGTGCAGAGATATGTCCTGGGAGGGTGACAGGAGCCAATACATACAGAGCTTTGCAGCTGCTCATACCAGCTCAGCACACAGTTGCTGTCCTCTTCTACGGGGCGTGTTTGAGGAAGGCTGGCCATGGCCACATATCCTGGAGGAAAGGATCCTTCTCATGTAGCCTCTCCCCAGGGCATCTCCACCCATCCACAGGCCCAAGCCACTCCTTTGTACCGGGAGAGGAGAGGAGAGGAGAGGAGGGGAGGGGAGAAGAGAGAAGGGGAGAGAAGGAGAGAAGAGAAAAGGGGAAAGAAGAGGGAAGGGGAGGGGAAGGGAGAGGGGAGGGGAGGAGTGAGGGGAAGGGAGAGGGGAGGGGAGAGGAAGGAAGTGCGAGAGGGCAGCCTGCAGCCCACATTCGAGCACCTACACTCCAGAGCAACAAGGGACCCTGTGAGGTTCTGTCCTGAAGCAGAGCCAACTGGCAAAGTGTAGCAAGATCTGGGGAGGATTCACCACCCCTGCATCATCAGGAACTTCAAGGCTTCTGTCTCTCTGAGCAATGGAAGTTGATTTATTTTGTTTTTTGTTTTGTTTTGTTTTGTTTTAGAACTGGGGTCTCACTATGTTGCCGAGACTGGTCTTGAACTTGTGCATTCAAACAATTCCTCCTGCCTCAGCCTTTTGAATAGCTAGGACTACAGGTCTGTGCCACCACACCTGGCTCAACAGCAGTCTTGTCTGACAGTCTAAAAGTTCCCTGGCCATAGGAGGCGGGACAGGCAGAATGGAGACCATGCTGCTGCAGATCAAGGCAGGTGAACTGGTGTGTGGACCCAGGGTATCATCTTAGGAGACTCAGAGAGACATAAGAGAGTGCTCTCAAGGCCTGGCTTCCAGAATGAGGTGGTCGTGGCTTCAGCCACCCAATTCTCATTCACGGAGGAGAGCAGTAACAGGCAGATGCCGAGACAGCGATGTGACTCCATGAAATCATGGGAATGTGCCTCTGGCTGACCGGGGTCCCACCCACCTACTCTGCAGATCACACCTGTGTAGACACAAAGTCTGAGTCTGTCACCTGCCCTGGGGCCTTGAAGACAAGGTGTCACAAGACAGAAGAAAATAGAAAAAGGGCCACATCTCTCCACCAAGGGCTTTACAAAGCAGGTAACCTGCTTACAAATCTCCCAAGTCCAAGGTACATGCCTTACAATGAAGAGATCTAAATTCTAAATAAGTTTCCTATGAGAATGGCAACTGGATCTAAAATGACAGCATCCTTTAAACATGAACTGAGGGGGTCAAGAGTTTGGTGGTGGGGAGGGGAAGGAGATAAAGAAAAAGAATTAAGATGTATACAAGTAGCAACTTCTCACAAGAAATGCAAGCATTATGCACTACAAACATGCACTACTAAAAAATAAATTTTAAAAAGAATCCCCCAAAGCATGAATTAAATAGAACACGTGAAAGACATTTGTGTAGGTATCACTCTGGTCTGTGTACAGATACCTCTTGCTCTTCCACTTGCAATGGGGGAACCCATGGTAAGTTGAAAATAAATCAGAAATGTATTTAAAACCAAATGTGGTGCCATACACCTGTAATTCTAGCACTCTGGGGGGCTGAGGCAGGAGGATCACAAATTAAAGCCTAGCCTGGGCAATTTAGCAATTTGGGGAGACCCTGTGTCAAAATAAAAATTAAAAAAAACAAAGTATGAGCTGGGGGTGTAGCTCCATGCAAATGCCTTGGGTGCAATCCCCAGTACCACAGTGAATAAATCAGCATTTTTTCTTTTTTTTTTTTTTTGGTTTTTCTCTGGTACCAGGAACCCAACTCACGACCTTGCGCTTGCCAGGCAGGCGCTTTGCCGCTGAGCTAAATCCCCAGCCCCAGCATTTTTTCTTTTAAAGAGAAAAGAAAACAAAATAACAACAAAGATAAAAACAAAACAACACAAAAACAATACAAAATTTTATAACAAGATGATAGGAAATTAACAATGGTTGTTATATTACATATTGTTATCTTCAAGGAAGTTGCTCAGATTACCAGATGTAAGAATGCAAGATTGATCAAACAAAGAGAAAAAAAAATAAAAAAATTAGAAACAGTACAGAGTTTCACTAATCAAGATGGTAGGAATTCAATAATGGTTGTTATATTGCGTATTGTTGTCTTCAAATTAGTTGTTCAGAATACCAGATATAAGCGTGCAAAATTGCCCAAAAAAAGATTTAAGCAAGTAAGCATTTTAGATACCTAACTTACCAAACGTCTTAGCCTAGCAACACAGGAAGCAGCTGTTTTCCCTCGTGGTAGCAGCTGCTGTCTGGCATCTCTATAGCACTTAGACTACAAATCACAGCCCAGAAAAAAACCAAAATCCGAAACTGAAAGTTTTGTTTCCACTGACTGAATATCACTTTCATGCCATTGTAAAGTTAAAAATATCACCCGTCGGACCATGGTACATCCAGGAGCACCTATGATGTGAACTCTTGGAATTTTTGAGGAGACAGACCGAAGGGCTTATAAAATACCGGATTCTTTACTCCCTGTTACCTTTTATTTTACTCTATTTGTACTTTGTGTCTCTCACATAAGAGAAACCATGTGACATTTAAGCCTGTGTGTCTGAGTTATTTCACGTAACATTATGATCTCAAGCTGCCTCCACGTATCAAGAGGCGGAGGGAGGAAAAGGGGATGAAAAAAGATCTGAGATGTGTTATGTACACAGACCAACTCCACACAAGGACTCTAAACAGCACGTATGGAAACACAAGCTAAGAAAAATAAACTTGAAAAAATACTATGGGATCCCCAGACCTCTTCTCTCGACCATATCCCTCCTTTCCCGGCGAATGTCCAGGCCCACCTTACTGACCTGGCTCTTGCTGCTGAAAGGGCTACTTCGCCCCGGCGCCGTTTCCCTCTCCCAAGCTCCTCTGCTGGGGCGATCTGAGAATACTCCCTCCTGCCTCCAGGGGGCACCAGGTCACTACATGAAGGCTGCACTGCCCAAGCCCGTCCTTGATTCTGTAGAAGGAAACCACAGAAGCCCTACAAGCGCTGTCTCCTGCTTCACTCCAGCTTCACCTCACAAATCATCCACGAACTCTCTGTGTGTTCATCAGCAGGTTGATGGATAAAGAAAATGTGGTATTTACACACCATGGTTGCCAGAAGAAAACAACTAAGGGGAACCTGAAGAAAGGAAAAATGATGGATCTGAAAATGCATGCTGTCTTCAGTTTTTAAGAATTTATTTCCACCACCAGGCATAGTGGTGCACACTTGTAATCCTAGCACTTGAGAGGCTGAGGCAGGAGGATCACTTCCAGATCAAGGCCAGCCTGAACTACAATAGTGAGACCTGTTTTTTAAAAAATTGTTTCCACCAGCATTGACTGTGACATGTCCTGATAACAGATGAGTGTAGTGGCCTCATTAAGGAAGGTCAGTCACTGCCCCTCTGCCCCTACTTGATGAAGTAGTAGAAATAGTGTTTGTTTGTTGCTTGTGGTACTAGGGGTGGAACACAAGGCCTCCACACTGAACTATACACTCAGCCTTTTTTATTTTCAAGCAAGGTCTACTAAGTTGCCCTGGCTGGGCTTGAACCTACAAGCCTCCTGCCTCAGCCACCTTGGGCATAATAATCCTCTTTTGAGCAGCACCTTGCCACCCAGCAGACAGTGATGTTGGGTGAATCACTGAACTTGCCAGGCTTAAGTTTCTTCATCTATATAAAGGAGCGTTCAAACTTCCTTACAGGACAAACCATGTCAGATGTCGTGTGCAATATCTTGTGTGAACATGTAACTGGGATAGGGCCATGCAAATACAAAGAGTTGCATGTATTCACTTCCAACCACAGTGTATAATAAAGCCATCTGCTGGCTAGGTCAGAGCTTCTGGAAGGTGAGAACCATGGCCACTTTTGTGCTGTAGACCTCCGTACCAGCTAAGCCTGGCATGCAGCAGATGCTCAGCAAGTGCTTGCTGCCCACACGTGTGGAGCCACCTCAGCTGCAGTGGGAGCCGGCTTTCAGGGCCTGGACACTGCCCGCTTCCTAACCATGACCTGGTGGGTCAGCTGCTATCTTCCCCACCCCCCTGCAGGTCCCTGTGTGCGCGGCCATCCTCACAGACAGCTGTGTGTTCTCTAAAGGAGCTGTCTTTGCACAGTGGCCCTGCCTGGGGGCACCTGGGCGGTCTCCTGTGGCGAGGACAGCAGCCCTGGTGGCAGCTGCAGGTGCCCTGGGCTGCCCACACGTAGGCACCCACAGGCACGACCAGCAGGACAGCGCACAGCACCACCGTGGCGTGCAGCAGGCGCTCACGGCCCTCCAGATCACTACCGATGCTGCCAGTCACGAAGACCACGCACGGGCCCTTGCGGGGACTCTGGTTGCCCAGGCTGAGGCACGCCTCGTATTTGGTTCCGGGGAGGAGGTCATGCACGGTGTAGGAGTGGATGCCGGGACCGAGGTGCACCACCTCCTTCCGGCCTGCTTCGTCCGAGGCGATGTGGAGTGTGAAGCCTTTCTCCTCAGCGGTGCGGGCCACTGCAAGCCACTTCAGCAGGACCCCACGCACTGTGTGCTCGGCCACGTGCAGCTCCACATGGGACATGGAAGCAGCAGAGGCGGTGAGTGGCTCCCGAGCCAGCTGGACGCGCAGAGGAATGGCCAGGGCGCTGCGGCCCATAGAGTTGGAGGCCACACATGTGTAGTTGCCGCTGTCCATTGGGTGCGCAGTTGGGATGACCAGCTCAGACAGGGCAGCATCTTCCACAGTGGACGAGGTCAGTACTGAGTGGAGAGAAGAGCAAGACAGCTGTGCATTTCTCTAGTGGACAGCTGGGAGCTGCAGCCATGCAGCTGCCATTTTTTACCTGGCAGTACTGGGTACTGAACCCAAGGCTTTCACACTGAGCCACATCTCTGGTCTTTTTTTAAAGATTTTGAGACAAGGTCTTACAAAATCATCAAGTTTCCCAGGCTGGGCTCCCACTTTCCATCCCCCTGCCTCAGGCTCCCAGAGTTCTGGGATCACAGGCGTGCACCACCAGGCCTTTCTGGTGACCATCTACTAAGCATTACGTGATGCCAAGTGTTCCCCTGAAAATTTGTAAAGTTCAGATTAGAGAGACCCATGAATTTACCCACACTGAGGCATTCAGAAGCCCTTGATGTGGAACCAGTCCCTCTCTCTAGCAAGCCCATACTCTCCCCACATCAGTAGCTGCTCCGCGCATCCAGCTTGGTCTTGCTAAGCCTAACCCCATGCTTTCTGTGGACTTCCCACAGTCATGTGATTGAGCAATTCTGTAAGTTCCTAGAAGTGCTTTCTTACCTTGTAGATGTGCAGTACTTCACAGCCTGGAGCCAAAGGCCTGGGTTCCTGTCCCTTCTTAAGTGCATGGTCCTGGGCAAAGTGCCTAAATTCTCCTGGCCTCAACTTCCTTGTCAGTGGAATGGGATGATAGTAGCACAGGTTTGATAGTAAGTGTTCAGTTGTCACACTGTTATTTCTGGGAGACTGGACACGGCATGGTACCCAGAGTGATTATAGAGCACCACAAAAGACCAGCTCTGGGTGCATCTCTTGGCTTTTGAAAAGACTGCAACAACAGATACTGCATTTCTACTCCATTACAATTTGCCTGCAGCCAGCAGGGTGTGATCAAAATGATGGAGAAAGTGAAAGAGTTCATGAAGCAAATGAAGCATTTTTTTTCTACTTGGAAGTTTGTCACTATGCATGACACTGCCTAGGTGGCTGGCTGCATTTTCCAACACTGACCCTGACATTTCAGTTGTCTTTTACTCAAAGGAAGACATGGGAATCTACAAATAAGCTTCAGGATACTCCTGCGGAGGCCACAGTTGGCTTTACGTTATGCTCAGCCCAGCTGGGGGTTCCAGCTGAGGTGTGAAACTGAGTGCACAGCTCCAGGAAAGGAGAGACAGGCTTAAATCCCTGCTCCTTGGCCCACAGAAATCATTTCCTCTCCACAAGCCCCAATATCATAATTTCAAGCTAATCACCCTTATATTCCAGCAATTTAGGAAGTTGAGATGGGAGGATGGAAAGTTTAAGCCCAGTTTAACCAACTTAGTGACTTACTGAGACTCTGTTTCAAAATTTAAAAAAAAAAAGAGTTGGGGATGTAGCTTAGTACAAAGGCCCTAGGTTCAAACTCCAAGACTGAAAACAAAACAAAACAAAACAAAACAAAACAAAACAACGGCAATCAAGCTAATAAGGTCTGATCAACACAGTGGTAATGAATGAAAATTCAGTCAATACCTAGGACTTCCCAGCCTTGCTTGATAATAAGAATTAGCTGGAGACAGAGGAGCTAGGAACTCATATATCTACCTATATCTATATCTATATCTATGTCTATATCTTTATCTCTATACCTATATCTATGTCTACATCTATCTATATATAGAAAAAAGGTGTGAAACATATATATTTGTATGTGAAACATGCATATGTGTGAAATATATCTACATATAGATAGATGTAGATATAGATATCATATTTTCAGTCATTGACTCACAAGACAGGGATTTGGAAATCTTATTTCAAGCAAGCACCCTGAGTGATTCTGCTGAGGCAAGTTTAGGAAATAAGTAATACTGATATTCTCTAAAATCAGTTCTAATTGTCATTTGTAGGATTCTAAAATTCACAGCATGGTGTTCTGCATCTAAAAGGGCCTCAGATGATATATTCATTGATGTGCAATTTTATAACATTTATATATGTTAAAAATCAGCCCCAATATATAGTTAAATATAAATAACCTAAAGATATCTTTATGTGACCATTTAAAATAGTTACACTAGTGGAACCCTCTGTTGGAGCCCTGTCTTTCTGTTCTGAAGAGTTAATGCTGGCCTGTCCCAGTCTTGCTTGCAGCTTCCTGTCCTGACAGATACACCTGGAATCCCTTCTGATGAGGTAGAATTACTGCACACCTCTCCATTCCTCCCAGAGAGGCTGAAAGGGTGCACACAGCTTACCAGCAAATTCTCTCCACATGCTCAGGGGGTAGGACCACACAATGGTTGGTGAAGGGCTGGCCTGAGCCAAGCACCGTAGGGTCACATTCTGTCCTGCCTGGATAGTGAAATTGGCACTGGGGGTTGAGATCTTTGGCTTCATGCAAACACTGGGCTCAATCTCATGAAAAAGCTGCCCTGCCTTGGAGAGAGGGCCCTGGCATATCAGATAGGAGTTCACCAGGATTATCGGGAAGCTAACAGACTTGACAAACTGGACAAGTCCCCTCAGCCTGCAGTCACATTCCCAGGGGTTGTTGTGCAGTGCCAGCACTATGCTGGAGAGAATCTCGGCCCCGCACGCAGAATGCTGGTGTTTCTGGTAGGTCAGCCAGTTCACAAAGACACTGCTGGATACAACCGTCAGCCTATTGGAGGACAGGTCAAGGTAGGTCAGATTGACCAGGAACTGAAGAGCCTGCTCCGGAAGTACATCAATCCTGTTGTGTTTCAGATCCAGGACCTTCAGGTGAGGGGTGTCGCGGAACGCTGTCCATGGTACCGCCCGGAGTTTGTTCCCCTCCAGTCTCAGCTCCCTGAGTTCCCGCAGGTGGTTCAGGGCTCCTAGATGGATCACGGTGACATTGTTAAAGTTGAGCCAAAGGTATTCCAAGGTGCTCATGTTGCTGAAAGAGTCTCGGGAGAGTTCAAATAAGGGTGAGTTTTCAATTCGCACTTGCTTGAACTCTTCAGGAAGGTTTCCTGGAATTTTTCCCAAAGAGGTAGACATGCACTGCAGAGCCCTGTTAAAAAACAAACAAACAAACAAAACCAGAAAAGCTGTAAGAGGAACTTCAGGAAACTGGAAAATGGTATCCAGTGGATCCTGATGTGACTTAGATGAAAAATATTTATTTGAAATAAAAGAGACCAATTTGGGTAAAAATGGTCAGTTCACCAAATTAAAATGAGTCTCATGGAGATTTTGCTGACTTCCTGCCAATTCTAAGCCTTTGTCTACTCCATATCATCCCCAATCAACTTCCATCTCCTCTAACCCCCAGCATCCTGCCCACACCCCGCACCTGCCAAAACTCTCCTCTGAGCAGGTACATCCTGGCACACAGAAAGGCTGCGATGCGTGTGTATCCAGCAAGACCAGAATTAGAAGGAAATACTGTGAAGCTGCAGCCATATTTGTCTGTAAGAAACTACCCTGTGTGTTTTTAATAATTATGGTCCCAGCTTCCAAGTGGCAAATCCTATTACGGGTAATCCACGGTGATCCATGGTCATGTAGGTCAGCACAGCCAAAGCCCCTGGATGCCCTGCGGTCTGTTACTGCCCAGATCACAGGTTCAGGCACAACCCAGGCAGAAAGAACTATGCGTCTTATCTAAGCCAGAAAATCCACCAATTGTCTGGCTCTGGAGTCTAGAGAGCAAACTCTAAGTCACATATCCAGAGCTGGGGAAATAGCTCAGAGGCTCAAGCGCCTGACTAGCAAGCGCAAGGTCATGAGTTTGACTCCCAGTACCAAAAAAAGAGAATAAACTCACATAAGTCACATATCTAACTCCATGCTGGTTCTACCTTCTCTGACTGGAGAGAGAAAAGTAGGCAAGAGCCTGAGAGCAAAGTAGGTAGTGCTATTCCAATCGCTTAGCCAAGGATTTGTCCAGAGTCCATCTAATACTTTATCACTCACAATTGGCTCCCCAAACTGGAATTTTCAAGCATTTTCTCCAAGTGAAAGAAGAGGATGAGTTGTGGTGTAATTCTATGGTCCTTCCTATCATGGCTTCTCTCCCCAGAAACCTGCAGCTGTGATTCCTCATGTCTTCACTGCATGAAGACAACTGCATCATCTTCAGCTTTGGTGGCCATACCTAGAGAAACATTACAGTGCAGCTTCAAACACAAGATGGTATTTCCTGATAAAAATCAAAGCTAAGCTGTTGTTTTCCTGGACTTTTCCTGAATGCCATGTATTTTGCTTTGCACAAAATGAAATACCTACATTTTCTAATGATGGTATTTGTGGTATTTTCTCTCTAAACTTCACTCATGCAACACATACTCTTTGGTCATCTGCTCTACCATATACTTGCTAGGTGCAAGAATGCAGTGGTAAGCAAAGCTGTTACAGATCTTGCCCCCTGTGGGCTGATTTCCTGCTTATGTTTCTGTGTTTGAGGTTTTTGCAACATCACTAATCTCTGTGAGTGTCAGTTTCTCTTCTTCAGAGTGAGACTATTAACAGAGATCTCAGTGTTCCTAGGAAATGTTGAACTATGTAAAATAAAGCACCTAGATACAGAAGTTGCTCAATAATTCACTTCCCATAGCAACAGATTTTTGAAGAACAGAATTACCTACTTTCTTATCAATAGAGACACTTTCAGATGAATACTGAAATACAGCGGTTTCCCTTAAGACTCGTGATATACATTATATCCTACAAAAGGTTTCAGCAAAAAAAATCCGCTTAGTGGTTAACCAGTGGGAAGGAAATGGGTCACCAGCTAAGCCGATTACATCCCAGCCTTTCTACTCAGTGCCAGATATATTTGCTGGAGTTCCCAGTCTCACCCTACAGTCTGGGTGGATCTCTAGAATTCCTCTAAGGTAAAAATCCAAAACACAGTTCTATGGGCACAAAATTTAGAGTGGGCATGAAGATTACTGCCTGGATCTCCTTTCAAGAGAGGAGTGGGTGCTCAGCTGTAGGAGTGCTTGTACAGATCATGGTCTTCTGTAGGCACCCCATACTTGGGACTGAGAGTGATAAGGGCTTTAGATTTGGCTAGTCTGGTACAAGGGAGCACACTGATAGTTCCCTTTTTTTGTTCTTGGTTTTTTTGTTTGTTTGTTTGTTTTTCTTCCAGTACCAGGAATCGAACTCATGACCTTGCGCTTGCCAGGCAGGCGCTTACCAGGCAGGCGCTGTGCTGCTGAGCTAAATCCCCAGAACCCACACTGATAGTTCTTACTCTTCCACATTTGCCAAGTCTTTATCAGACTTGTTTCATAGAAATTCATGAGTCAAACTATGGGGATCCAAAACAGCCAGTGAAGTCTTTTTCTCCTCTTATCTCATAATATAAAAGCATAAACACTTCTTCCTTCACTAAAATTTGTTCTCTGTCCATTCCATGCTAATCTTTTCACATAAACCCAGCTCCACCAACCTTCCCAACAGTGGCTGAGAGCTTGTGTAAAGCATCCAACTGATGTGTCACCTCTGGAGTCACCTGGGCCCCTTCTCCCCTCCTGACTTCTCTAGCTTTCCTGTTTGGTATATGGGTGTAGAGAGCAGCTATGTTGGGAGTTAAGGCAGGGGACTAAGAACAAATAAATCCAGCCTGCATCATGCCAGTTAGCTTAAGTAACTGGTAGTTATGTGTAGTCCCTAAACTCAAGAAACATGGACAACAGAAAGGAGAGGTTTTGTAAATATTTCAACCCCATCTCCTCTCTTGCAGGATTTTAGGAATTCAGTTCTCGGAGTTCTTGATAGAGACAGAGTCATGGGAAAGGGCTTACTCTGTGCTTACGAGTAATTAGCTATAAATAGCTGCTGAAGGCAGCTCTTTGGCTTGTCTTAAAAGAATCTTACTAAGAGGTCTCCCTATCTGTTTAGTTGCAAAATGCCTCTGCACCCCCAATCCTAGCAAAACTTTGAGACAGTCTTCAGAACTGGGCAACCTATTAGGGGCCAGACACTGTCCTTCATTTTTCTCATGCTACAGTTCCTTCCATACCCCCCATGTGTTGCTGACCATGTGTGAGGTGGTTCCCTTGGCCACCTGCGCTCATGCTGTGCCTGTGGCAGACACATGGAAGACGACAATCAAGCCTCCTTGAAATGTGCCGGCCAGGGGTCCCATGTTCTGGATGCCGAAATGTTAGAGGAAATGTCCCTATGTAAGTCTCCAGGTTCTCTTTTTCCTTGTTGGGGAAACCATTGATATCCAGATAGTGGGGCTCCCTCACCCTGAACTCTTGAGTGAACAAATGAAGCAGAGCTTCCCTCCATCCACACTCACCACTTGCTGAAGCAGACTCAGTGGGAGCAGCAATCAATCATCATCAAGCATAAGCCCACCCTATCCTGCCTACAATGCCCTTGCAACTAAGTAAAATGTGCTCAAGTGCCTGTAATTCATGTTTGCCTTTACTGGATTTCAAGATCGCTAAAACCAAAGCCAGTCTTTGCACAAACTGTTCACTGAATTCCTTGATTGAATACCAGAACACAATTCCTGCTCTCTGCCTTTGTGTACCTTGCAACTTAGGTGGGAAGTTGTAGATGCTTGGCATTGGGTATGTGTTCGGCCTAGTCAAGAGGAAAGTAACAACAGGGTCATCAGGAAAAGACACAACGAGCATACTATGATTCCCTTCAAGTCCAAAGTAGGCTTCTGAGGGCCACACGTTTTGGGATCACAGTAGCATGGGCTAGAGTACACACCCGAGGACCAGAAATTCCTTGTGCAGGACACTGCAGGATCATTCAATTTGCAGAGCCTGACTCACACTAACCAAACATACACTAGAAGATTAATATATAAACCAGATACCATTTATTTTTACCATAGGAATTTTTAAGTGATTTAAATATTCATGAGCACAATCCAGAATGATTCTTTCTTACAGGAAATACATAAAGTGAAGATTAACAGTTGAGTACAGGGAGGCTGCCCAACTTGGAACTCATGATCATCTGGGCCACAAAGATAGGCCCTACTGAATCACTGGAAAGTGTGAAGTCTCTGACTCTCTGTCTGTTTCTCTGTCTGTCTCTCTATCTGTCTCTGTCTCTCCCTCTCTAATTGTTGTTTTCAGTTTTCTAAGTTTTCTTCAAACAATTCAGTACAACTAGTTGGATATTAGTTGTCTTTTGGTCAATTATTGCTCAAGCTTGATGGACTCCAATAACCATTTAAACAACACGTTATTTCAAGAGGTGGCTGTTTTCACTGGTCGTGCCTATATTTGCTCTAATTTGGGAAGGGGGTTATCTGCCACTCCTACATACCAAACAATCAGAAATGAGTCTTGAGTCTTCAGAGACAGTAGAAAAACCTATACAAATCTAGAAAAGGCTGGCAAAGTACAGCTTGTGGGTCAAACCCTCGCCACTTGTGGGAAGAGAGCAGTGTCCATTCACTGATGTACTGTCTGTGCCTGCTTTTTGCATTCCATCAGCAGAGTTAAGTAATAGTGACAGAGACTAAAACATTTACAGTACGGTTTTCTTTAAAGAAAACATCTGCAGACCACAGACGAAGACAGTGGTATGCTTTTTATCTAGAAAATGTTCAATGTGACATGGAGCCTTTTACATGACAATAGCAAAAAAAAAATTCCCTTGGGCCACTTACTGTCCCCAGATGTTTTCATTCGTTATACAAAAGCTTGACACCAGGCACCCTGGATGCTGCCCTTGCTGGAGCCCAGCTTTGTAGACAAGAAACAAGCTGAGGCATCTGCTGAGAACATTCATTCTCTCCTGTGCGCAGAGACTGTGCAGTGGTTCCCTAGCTTTAGGCAAAACTGAACACAAAGCCTCCTGTGCAGGGGCCTGAGGAGTGGGCAGAAAGGCCTGAGACTCTCCAAAATGCAGGTAAGTTTCAGTAAGAGTCATCATGGGACAGAAGCGAGCAGGCTGCCCGATAGCGCTGGATGTGACACTGTCCTCTGCTATTAAGAGTCTCTTAGATCTTTCCAGTCTGACGTGCTGGGAACAGATAAAAAGGTGGCCCTTGGGGATCACCCAACCTCCAGAATTTATTGAAGATTGAATTATCATCTCTAGGCAGAGTAGCACCCAGAGAACAAATGCTAGAACTAAGCGAGGACATGGTGGTGGGTGACTGGAGTGTATGTGTGTCTAGCAAGGGGAGTGACTAAAAATGAGACTCACACCATAGAGAGCCTGCACTGAAAGGGCTCAGGGGTTAGCATCAGTGTCGCTACGATGTGGTGTACGAGCAAGGATGATCATCAGTGGATTCCAGAGTTGCCACTGCTGGGTGGGCAATGTAGTAATGAGAACCTGCTCAGCAAATGCTTGGGCTCACTGTCACCTCCAGGGATGTGTCCTTACCTGCGTAAGTTGGGTTTGGCCCTGAGACTTGCTTTGGCAGACAGCACATGGGCAGAAGTGGCAGTGCACTGATTCTGGACTCAGAATTTAAGAGGCATCATGTTGCAATTCTGCTCCTTTCTCTGATGTTATCTGACCTCACCCTGAGAGAAGGCTGCCCCACGTGGCCACTGCCGCTCTCCAATCTGGCTCCAAATGGGATACCCAGAGCAGAGCCACTCCAGTCAACCTAACACCCATGGGTATGAAAGTAAATGTATACTACAGAGCTTTTGCTTTACTTGTTACACAGCAAAACTGACTGAGACACCCACATTACTTAAGCCCCTGTTTCTCCTCCAGGAAAAGGGAGAAAAAAGTGGTGCCTTTTACAAATGGTTGTTATGAGAGTTAAACAAGTTAATGCAGGTAAAGTGTGTAGAACACCTGGCATGCAGTCAGCATTTTGTGTCAGGAGGCATTGGTGAAGTGTGAGGAGGAGGTGTCCAGGCGGGAGTGGCAGGTGGCACTCAGCAGAAGTACTCATTGATGCGCCTGCCTGCCTGCGAGTCCATGCTGGAACGTGCAGAGAGGAGCCTGTCTGCCTCTCCACTGAGGCTCTGCCTGGACAGCTCCTCGGAGCCGTCTTCCCCGCGAGTCAGCCTCTCCAGGTGCACATAGGCGCCCGCTGCCTCCCCAGAGCCTCGCCCACGACACTTCCGGCAGCGCCTGCGGAGCGCCCCGCAGCACACGAGCAGCGTGGGCGGCAGGGCAATGGTGGCCGCCACGCTGATCACCACCATGTTGATGAGACGCTGGGTGCCCTCAGCATCCGCCACCTCGTCAGTGGAGAAGATGACGCACTGCTCCTTGCGTGGCACCTGGCCCCGCACGCACACGCACGCCACGTACTTGGTCTTGGGTACCAGCCCCTGGATAGTGACACTGGTCATGCCCGGCTGTACGGTCACCCGCTGCATGTCACGCTGCCCGAAGACGGCGTAGAGGACACTGAAGGCCGTTGTGTTCCCAGCCTGGGGCGCCTTCCACACCAGGGACACGCTGTCGTAGGTGTCCCCCACCACCTTGAGCGACCTCACCACGCCTGCCTCCTGCCCGTCGGACAGCTCCCCCGGCGAGCTGAGCTGGAAGTGCTGCAGGGCTAGCTCCTCCTTCACACTGGGCAGGGAGGGCCCCAGGGCCAGCACTGCAGGCTCGGGCACACGGGGCGCATGCCTGGCCACCAGCTTGTTGTAAGCAGCAGCCTCTCCCTCGATGCCTGTCCACTCCCACCTCACCCCTGGGCTCCCGCTGTCTTCTGTGGGGGTCTGAGGCTCAGTGACAATCAAGGAGATGAGCGTCTCTGAGGCCCCCAGGAAGTTCTTGGCCTGGCAGATGTAGTCTCCGGAATCAAAGTGCGACACAGCAGGCAGGTCCAGGAGAGTCCAGCTTGAACCGTCGCTGGAGATTTCCTGGTGCACTGGGAGAAGAGGCAGGTGTGGGAGAAGGAACATACCTCCTGACCCTCACTCCTTTCCAGCACCAAGTTCCCAGCCCCTGGGATGTTCACACAGAAGCAGGGAAACTGTGACCCCCCAGAAACGCTGGCCAGTGATGGGCTTATCAACTCAGTCAGGGCCCAGGTCCTCACCTTCACAGCTTATAACCATTGCTTAGACCAGCCGAGAGGGTCAAGAGGACATGGGGCCCAATTTGGGGGAGGCCCTGGAGCTCCAAGCTGATACAGGGCCTAAGAGTAAACTGCCTTCTAAAAGGAGTGATCTAAAAATAGGGTGCATGTTTACATTTTTAAAAATCTTATAGCTTTTGCTCAGTGGCAGTATCGTAGCCAATGAGGTTTATCTGAGGCGCAATTATCACTAATTAAAAAATCTTATTACAGTAAAAGGCACACTAAGAACAATGGGGTGCGAGTGTTTAAAATGAGGTGGGTTAGAGGACTCAGGAATTAATGGCAAGGTGTCTTGCCATAATTTTTAAAAATTTAGATGTTCATAGTGATTTTTGATCAAATCCTGTACGTGTGAGATGTCCAAAGTATGCTCTTCAACGGCCTGGGGTTTTGTAGCGGTGACCCTTGGGAAGGCCTCCCAGGAACAGTCAGGGGTGACCCTGAGCGAGAAGCCCAGCTGGGGGACCCTGCTCACCTCACAGCTGCCTCGATCAGAGCACCCTCACCTGCCTGGCACACAGTGCAGCTTTCTGTGCCATTTTGTTTCTAACTTGATTTCAAAGCCACTGTGGACAGTGACCATTGTCAGCCTAGTGGAGGGAAAGTCGCAGAAGTGGGAGGTGGTGGAGGATTTGAGGTTCTCTGGTCAGGTGCTGTGAAACCATTTCTCCTCTCCTTTCTCTCTGCCTGTGGCTGGCTGAGACTCCTGCCCACAAATGCCACCGAGACAGACCTCAGCGCTCTCTGCCCACACAGCCTCTCTGAAACAGCATCCGCCTTGGAGTCAGCAAGGCAGTGCTGGGATCTTCCTGTGCGAGCTGTGTGGGATGGCCCAGGTGTGCAGCCTCTCCGAGCCTCCACTCCCTTGTATGCAAAATAAGGGTAATCAGGCTGCTCCAGGGTGTGATGGGCCAGCATAATGCAGTAATGATAGACCATGAAGAGCTTGATCCCGGTAACCCATATCCTTAGTTACTTCTGGTGACATTGGCTTAATATTTACAACTGGGAAACGTTCTGTAAGCATTAAGTGCAATAATAGTGTCTTCTACCAAAAAGTCAACTTTTTATTCCTCCCACAATAATCTGAGTCTGTGATCCAGAGGCTGGTGAGATTGACAGTAGAGGTGGGGAACTGGTGTCATCATTAAACCCACTGTCCCTGGGCTCAGCCTCTGGGTAGATCCTCTCAACTCCATTCAGACACATGGGAGCCCCGCCTAGCAGAGTCCTTCCTTCTGGCCCTGCCCACTTCCCACTTGGGATAGTGATCTGCTTGACCTAGTCCTGGGCTTAGGGAGAAGGTCCTGTAGTTCACCCACCTGTGCCATTGAGTGGGCGCCCATTGGCTCTTCTCCAGTGCATCTCAGGCCCAGGGATCCCAGTGGCTCCACAACGTAGCAAAACAGAGCTGCCCAAAGGGGACCTGATGCTGGTCACACCTGGATGGAGCTCTGGGCCTTTGCACTTCCTCAGCTCCAGCTGGCTAAAGGCTATTCCGGCCAGGTTACGTGGGCTGGCACACCTCAGTCTGGCCTCGATGAAGACCAAGTTTGGAGCCCAGCCATCCAGGAGATGGACCAGGTCATAGAGTCGGCAGTCACATGCCCAGGGGTTGTCCTGAAGCCCTGCAGGAGACAGAAGGCAAGAAGTGACCTGTAGACATCCAGAGCCCAGGCCCAGCTCTCTATCTCCTTGGAGAGGAGGGGGGAACCTCTCAGCACAGAGTCAGCAGAACTGGCTTCCAGGCCTGGCTCCTGCCTTGCCAACTGCCTAATAATACACCTTGTCCTTCTCCCTAAATGATAGCATTACTCCCCTTTAGGGTTGCTGTAAGCATAAAGATCCATCTTGGAGCATTGGGTAGGCCACAGAGCATGCCCACAAAATTGGTTAGTATGTCTGCCATCCTTAAACTAATTCTTTCAAGAGTCTGTCTGGCCAGGAAGAATTTTTGCAATAACTGCAATATGTCAAAACATTTTCTAAAAATGCTTCATTGACCCTGGCCTTTGACCCCTGTCCTCCCAGGATGTGTCACTTTTCAAGTCACATCACCACAGCAGCGAGAGTGGTGACTCTGTTCAATGTTTTTCTTTGACCTAGGCTCAAGTGGGGTAAAAACTGGAGTGAAGAGGCTGGGACATCACATTCTTTGATATAGTCCCAGTCCTTTTTACACCAGTGTTGGAAACTTTTAAAGAACTGGAAGCACGTCACTGCACATTACCTGACTCCCCCTGCAAACCATACACAGCTAAAGTGGTACTGTGTCCTCAATGCTGAAGCATAATTCCCTTTCAAATGTTTGCGATTCTGAAATGCAAGATAAGGGCATTTGATGTGATGTTACTTTACCCCTCAAAGTTTGCTACTGCATTTGATAGTCCACTCATCTATGATATCTTACACATTTACAAGCACATACTTGATATATTTGGAAAGGGGAGTGTAAAAGTGTTGGGAGGGTATGTTCAGATCCGATGGCTTATCTTGTCTCTCAGGTCCCTTCGAGCACTCAAAGAGGATGGAGGCTGCTTCTCCCACCTCTCCTTCACCCTCTCACACGAGAAGCTGCCTCCCTGCATTGCTCGTCAAATGCGTTCACAAAACATCTGCAACCCAAGGTTCTCCAGAACCCCACCCTCATAGTCAGCTACCTGGATTTTGCCGATTACAAAAGGGTTGCAAAAGAAGTAGTGAAAAGTCAAAGATTAACACCTATGAAACTTCCACCTGTCATATTGGCAAAATTTAAACATTTTGGCCATTTTAAATATTAGCTGCATGAACAAACAGATTTTTGTCTGTTTGGTTCATTGTGGTATCTTCAGCTCCTAGAATTGAAAGGCACTCAGAATTACTTGGCAGGGGGGACCCTGCATGGGTCAGCTCACAGAATGTTCTCTGTGGCCTCAAAAGTGTTAACAAAATAATGGAAATATTCTAAAAGCCCAATGGAGGAGGAATGGTTTTTAAAAAAACTGTAATAGAACTATATTATGGAATATTGTGTAGCAGTTTTTAAAAGGTAAGCTTGTTCTATTTGTAGTAATTTAAAAGATCTCCAAAATATATGATTGGATGAAAAAGATAGCATTGATTAATATATATAACAAATTTTTGTTATAATAACTTTAATTCATGCATATATTTGTGTTTATATGCATATTTGTGTGCACCCCTATAGGTATGTGTATATACTTGTATGCCTAAGTATTGTAAAAGATAGGGAATTTATAAATAAAGTAAGAAAAGCTATCTTTTGAGGAGAGGGGATTAGAGTGGAAAGGGGAGACACAAGGTCATTAGTCTTTTCTGTTAAGTCTTAAACGTGTACACATTTTCACCTCTGAGCTGGACAATTCAAGTCGACTTTCTGGGTCGTGGGCCTGTCCCCTTCGGGACCAGGCAGGTCCTCCGGCAGGAAAGGGGGCCTGGCTTGTCCGCTTTGCAGTGTGCCAGGGCCGAGGAGGGCCAGAGAAACAGAGACCGACTGGTGTGCAGTGCCAGTCCACTGAAGCCTGAGTTGGGAACTTGAGTCTCAGGGAGTTTCGTGCTGGTTGTAAGGCCTGGACAGAAACTTCTTGTGTCTCCCTTTCCTTAAACCTTGGAAAGTAAACTGCGGCAGTCTGGCTTGGGTCTCGAGCCCCTAAGCCTGTGCCTTGCAGGTCTCCCTCCATCTGCACTCAAACGCGGGAGGCAGGTATGGTTTCCACATTCCAGGTAAAGAATGGAGACCCAAAGTGGCTTGCCCAAGGCCCCAGGGATCACCAGGGTGGACCGAGGTGGAGGATACCGCCGTCTCTTACCTAGTACCAGCCTAGTGTGGAGGCCAGGAAGGAAGGGTCCGCTCTTCAAATGCGCCCAGGCGAGCAGCAGCTCCTGTGGGAGCCTCATCAGCTGGTTGCTGGAGAGGTCCAGGAAGGTGAGGTTGCCCAGGAAGCGCGTGGCCTCGGCAGGCACGGTGGCCAGATGGTTGGCCTGCAGGTCCAGCAGCCGCAGCTGGGGGGCGTCCCTGAGCGCAGCCCAGGGGAAGGATGCCAGGCGGTTCCCGGGCAGCCGCAGTTCGCGCAGGCGCCGCAGGCCGCGCAGCATGAGCGCGCTGAGCTCGCTTAGTGCGTTGTAGGGCAACCAGAGCTGCTCGAGGCGGCCCAGCGCCCGGAAGGCCTCTCCCGGCACCCTGCGCATGGCCGTGCGCTCCAGGCGCAGCCGGCATGTGTCTGCGGGGAGGGACGCGGGCGGCAGCGTCAGGTCAGGGTCGCTGCACACTACCGTCCTGCAAGACACAGAAATACGCAGGGCCTCTGAGCCTGGGTCCTGCTGGCTGGTGGTCCCCCTTATGGGGCCTGCGGATTGACCTCTCCCAGAGCCCCAGTATCAGCGGTGGGCTGTAGAGAGGGCTGCAGGCTGGCGGCCTCCCTGTTCCCCTGGGGAGTCTCGCTTTCAGAGCATAGCCTTTTGCTGGGACCCAGGAGGGCCCTTGGGGTGTTCGCTGGCCTGGAAGACATGGAAGCTGAGCCCAGTCTGTTACAGCCCGTAGTGTCTGCAGCCCTGAGGGCAAAGGGGTTCATTGCCCTGGCTGTGCAGCACACTGGTAAAGCACACCTCAATCTGTGTGACCGTCTTGGCGCTTCTTCATTTCTCCTAGTTTCTTTTTTTTTTTTTAATTAGTAAGTGTTTGTAATACATAATACTTACATTCATTTTGGAATATATATATATAAAATCTTTTTTATTTTTTTTCCTTCCCCTTCCTTGCTTGATTTTAAAAAGTATATATCAAGGGTACAAAAAGTCAGCAGTGCTGCAGGTCTCTCCTGACCCCAGGAGCTAGGGTCACACACAGCTAGGGTCACAGCTGGGCTCTGTGCCTGTTGTCTGTGTGTCCTGACATCTCTCAGGTATCCTGTCTTTTCCTGAGTTTCCTTCTGATAACGGATGTCACCTCGTAGCCCAGTTAGGGGGCAAGTGAGCCCATGAACAGACTCAGCCTGCTGCCCAGGGCCAGTACCTGCCAAGAGCTTCAGATCTGTTTTCTCAGCACTGGGTAGATCAGGGCCATAGCACCAGGTCCTTCCAACCCCTTCTGCCAATGGCCTCACAAACCTGGGTCTATTATGTCTGGTCTAAAGCTGAGGACAGAGATGCCAGGAGGTAGTCCTGCCCCCAGGAGCCTACAATCCAGGGTGGTGTTCTACACCATCAGGAGAGTAGCGTGCACACACAGGGTAAGATGACAGGAACTGTCAAAGATGAGGGTCATGGAGGCTAGCACCAGGGGCCTGGGTCTCGGGCAGAGCCGTTTCATCTGTGGGGCTTCTCTGCCCAGCCAGGGGTAGGCATCATATATGCTTTGCTAAAAGAGCTTATTCCCCACGATGTCCTGTGTATTGTCAAATCAGAGCAACCCAACATAAGCCTTGCAAGCCAGCAGCTGCCAAGTGAACACACACAAACACACAGACACACACACACACTGCTAAGAGGTGCTGGGCTGGGCTTGTTCCTCCTCGTTAATGGCACCTCAAAAGATCCAAATTTCCCACCAATTCATGTCCCTCAGATAAAGAAGACTCCTACTAAGTGGTCGGCCATTCAGGAGAGAATCAAAGCCTCAGCCCCAGTCCATGACAGCTTGTCATCTCCCTCAGGAAGAAAGCACTGAGGGTGGCAGTCTTTTCAGGTGGTGAGAACACAGGTTGGGGTGTCTGCAGCTGGGAGGAAGGAAGGCAGTGGGAAAACACATTGTGGGCTGCAGAGAAAGTGGTCATAGCAGAAAAAAGCCAACCCAAGCATAGCTCCTGATGGGGCAAACTGGACACAGAATGCACTGGGGACACATCTGTCCTGGTGCCAGGCTTGGGCCCTTGCAGCAACCTGGGTGTCCCTGGGGACAGACTGGGGGGGGCAGGTGGCCAGGCTGGGGCTCTAGGAAAGCCTGTGGGAGAGCTGGGTGTGAGGAAGGCTCTGACCTGTGAAGGACATCAGCCTAGACGCAGTCTGTCCCCTGGTCCCTGGAGACATCTAGGCCCCTTGCAGCCTGGCCTGGCCTCATTACCTGTGTGGGACACTCCATGAGGATGGGCTGGTGCACAACAACCCGGGGACTGTCCAGCAGGTAGAACCCACTGTAAGAGCTCCGCTTCAGAGAGGGGATTGTCACTAGCTGACACTAGGGCCCCAACAATACATTTGCAATTTCAGTTTCATCCGAAGTCTAACTCTACTGCCTGCACCCCGATGGGAAGAGTTCTAGGAACGGTCTGAGAGTTCTATATTCTTGGACCACTTCCATCGCTGATCCTGTGATGCTGTGTGACTTTGAGGCCAATGCTCTCTGTGGGTGGTGAGAGGAGCACTGGCCACATGGTTGTTGGTCATGGGTGCTTTCCTGGCACGCTCGAGGCTCCACCTGGATACCCTTAGTGAGAGGACCCTTGCCCTCCACATGAGTTAGAGCATCAGACCCTAGCTCTGCTGGACCCCAGATCGCACCAGAGGAGGTGTCCTGTCTTCCACATTCTTCCCTATTGTAGCAGAAGAGCAGGGGTTTACAAAGCACAGCGGCCTGGGGACGGATGCAAGGAAGGGGGAAAGGAGAGGGTGGGGCTTTATAAGGTGAGAGGGTGGATGCAGAACATTGAGGATGAGCCTGAGGATGCAGGGAGCCCGGCTGGATGGGATGGGCGCTCGCAGCTTTCCCAGCTGTCTGCGGAAGGCGTGGAGGCTGGTGCTCCCTGGGCTGCCAGAGGAGACCCACAGGAGAGGAGCAGGAGTCAGGTGGCCTCTTCATGGGTGTAGTGGCAGGAAGCCCTGTGGGGTCTGGGCACCCCAGAGGCAGGCAGCGGTGAGAGCGAGAGGTGTCGGGTGGGAGGGGTGGGGAGACACCGGGAGGAGATGAAATAGAAGGAGGCAAGGAGAACGGGAAGAGGTACGCAGGAGACTCCCCAGACATTGAAAGAGGACTGCTCGCCACCAGGAGCCTGACGGAGGGCCCAGGAAGGGCTTCCGGAAACACATCTGCCCCCACATATGTAAAGACCCAGAACCTCCTGGCCAGAGCAGTCTCCCACGTTTCCAGGGCCTGGGAAACAGAGCTTTCACCCAGCCACGGGCTAAGGAGCCTGCTTCCCCAGAGGCCCTTGGGGAGCAGCTGCTGGGCACCCTCCCCTTCCCAAGCCAGCCTACTACCCGCACCCCACACGGAGGAGAGGGGCCTTACCTGGCCTTGCTGCCATCACCTAGGATGTGGAGGCTGCAGCTGCACTGAGAGGGGCAGGAGCCCCAGGCCGGTGGGGGCCCTCCAAGGGCCAGGAGCCAGAGCATGCCCGCAGCCACCCACATGACTCCTGGCTCCTTGCTGGCCCGGGCAGGGGCCTGCCCCAGACTGCTCTGTCCCGCCAGCCCAGCAAGCCCAGCTGCTGCTCCCCTCCCCCATGCCTGCCCAAGGCCATCAGATAAACAGGGGATGGCCGGGGCTGAGGATTAGGGAGGGGAGCCTCAGCCACTGCTCTCAGCAGCTTAGCGCTTCCTGGATGGTCTGGGCCTGAGGGCGGGGCAGAGACCCTTTCCAGAGCTCCCTGGGGTGTCCAGGCAGGGGAAGGGGAAGACGGAACCCTGGCCTCAAGTAAGAGTCTGGGAAATTGCAGCTCTCAAGTAGAAAATGCTGTTTTGCGGGTTCTCTCAAGGTCTCCTTAGGAGGAGCAGCTACTGTTTCAGGGGAGTCCTCAGAGATGCCTCCCCCAGACTCCTAAACTACAGCCATCCATTGGGCAAGCTACTGCTTTCCCGAATGCTTCGTGGACATGCAGTCCCCAAACATGGTGTCGCAGTGAGGCCCTGCCTGGCAGAGGCATTTCCTGTGGGACAGAGACAGCTCCTCCACTGAGCTCCGAGGAGGGGCCAGCACCATATGTATCCCAAGCCCTGGGTCCCTCAGCTTTTCAAAAGGTTCCCACTCCTCACCCCCATGGCCCCAGACAGCGAAGACCCCAGGGCACACATGATACCTCACTTGTGCCTTGATGCTTTGATGGAAGACATTGGTCCCCTCCCTTATTCTCTTGCAAATCCAGCCAGGAAGCTGTCCTCTGTACCCACAATGAGCCAGTAGCCCTCCTCACCAAGCTAAAAGACCAGCCATGCTCACTGCCACATCGGTGCCTTTTTTTTTCGGTATATGGAATGAACCCAGGGGCCATTCACAGGCCAAAAGCAGCCCAAGTTGGTTGGTTGGTTTTGTACTGGGAATTTAGCCCAGGGCCTTCACACCAAGATACATCCCCACTCCGTTTTAATTTTTTTTATTTTGAGGCTCAATCTTGCTAAGCAATAATTCACTATGTTTGTCAGGCTGGGCTCCAACTTGTAATCCTCCTTCCTCAGCTTCCTCAAGTGCTGGGAAGACAGCCATGACCCAGTACACCAGCTTCTGGGGAGAAATTTTGATCCCCAAAGGCTCTATAGAAGACAGGAAGCACAGGTGACTTCCCAAACCACGTCCTTCCCCCAGCCTTGCCATGTGATTTTGTGCGTACACACACACACACACACACACACAGACACATACACACACACACACACACACCAAGCCATGCCAGCTTGCCAGGAGCTGTGGACCCAAAGGGTCTGGCTCCCACCTAGTTCCCCAGGGCAGCTGTAGCTCACACCCTGCTGCCCTCCTTGGTTATGCAACTCTTTCAATCCAGCGCTCAGTGCTGCCCTATGCATCCCCGGACTTTAATCCTTCCCCAGGAGATGGAGATGAATGAGCCAGAGCCCCTCACAAAGAACGTGCTGTGTGACCTGTGAATGGGTCCCTTCTGCACGAGCCAAGAGGGTGACTTAGAAGGGAGGCAGGGGGGAAGGAAGCCTGGCATAATAACCTGCATGTGCTTGCTCGGTCTAATTGCCCTTTAAAAAGGAGAGGCCAGGCTCAGGGAGCCCGCAGACAGCTGGGGCACTTACAGGGAGAGAGGCTGAGGATGGCAGTGTCTGGGGCCCTGCCCACTGGCTTCGGGGAGCTCGAGGTGCTGGCTGTGGGGACAGTGCTGCTGGTGGAAGGTGAGCCAGGCGGGGCCTGGGCTGGGACAGAACCCAGCTGCAGCTGTGTGGCATTTCACCTGGGCTGCAGCTCCGTGGGCCCGGATCCAGGGGCTGTCTCTGGGCTGCCTGCATAGGTGCACTATGCTGGAGAGGAGTCCGAGGACGGAAGCCAGGCAGGGGTCTGGAGGGAGCGACTTGGACTGATGGGAGAGATGCCCAAAGCGCAGGCTTTTGACTTCCAGCCACAGGGAGCTCAGATCCATTCCCTGGAACCCTGTGCGGATCCCTTCGAGATGAGATCCCCAGGCGGGGTCGCTAGAGGGCAGGAGTGAGCTGCAGCCGGAAGCCCGGTGCCAGCCCCAGCCCTGCCTTTCAGCGCTCTGCGGTCTCAGCCTCAACGGCCTGACCATCATCTGTTTCTGGAAGATCCCGGAGCTGCGCACACCCAGCCACCTGCTCGTGCTGAGCCTGGCTCTGGCGGACAGCGGGCTGAGCTTCAATGCCTTCATCGCGGCCGTGTCCAGCCTCCTCCGGTACCAGCCCCTTCCCCTGCCCAGCCCTGGGCAGCCAGGCCTGAGCCTTTCTTCCAGCAGATAGACAACAGCCCTTAGGGCAGAAGCAGGCAGGCTACCCAGGCTGAGCTGGAACTCCGGGTTACCCCTGGAGAATCTGTGGACGGGGGTCGGGGACGGTGTGTTTGCTCAAACCTGGCCAGAGAGAAGGCAGGGGGTGAGGGGACAGGGATTGAGTGCGGGGCCCAGGGACCCGGTGGCCTGGCCTTGATGCTTAGTTCCTGTGGGAGCTGGAAGTAGTGACTTTAATTCTTTGCAAATGATGTGAAGCAACCCTTGCCACCTAGGAAGCCCTCAGAGGTAAAAGCAAACAGGGTTTTGGCTGGTATCTGATACTCCTGTGCACCCAGGGTCCGTATCTCTTTGGAAGGTGTTCCTGAGACTCATGCTTGTTTTGTTTTTGTTTGTTTGCAGTCCTGGTGATTAAACCTAGTGCCTTTCCACCAAGCTGTAGCCCCAGCCTCCTTTCATTTTTTATTTGAGACAAGATGTCACTAAATCCTTAAGTTGTGCAGGCTGGACTTGATCTTGTGATTCTCCTGCCTCAGCCTCCCGGAGTGCTAAGACAACAGCCACGCACCACTAGCCCAGCTAAGATTTTTTTAAAAAGTGAACTGAACATTTCCCTTGTTCTGTGTGGCACTCACAGTGGGGCTGCGCTGCCTGGTGTGGAAGCTCTGCCTGACCAGTCTGTGGGGTTTGAGGCATGAGGACTCCTCTTCCTACAAGGGGCTAGGGTGGAGGTTCTATCTGCCCTCCTCTGCTGTGTGACTGTGGTTTGGTACCTGTTCCCCTCTGAGCCTGTTTCCCCACCTATAAAATAAAGGTATGTAGCCAGGTGCAGCGGGACATTCCTGTAATCCTAGCTCTCTTCGAGGCTGAAGAAGCAAGATCTCAAATTGGGACCCAGCCTGGCAATTTAGCCTCTTAGCAAGACCCTGTCTCAAAATTAAAAAAAAAAAAATTTACACAGGTGGGAAGGTAGCTTGGTGGGAAGTACCTGGGCTCCATCCCCAGTAGCACACACAAAGGAAAATTTTAAGTAAATAAAATTCAACACAGGCAGGAGCTCTCCTGATGATGCAGACAGACCCCTGGTCAAGCATGACGTGGGCTCCACCTTCCCCAGGGACTTAGCTCTGCTACCTCAGGGGAAACGAGATGCCAAGGGCCTGGTCTCCGTAGGCACTGGCCTCCCGGCTCCGGACGCTGCCAGGCTCTTGGCTTCCAGGGCTTTGCGACGGCACTGGCCAGCATCAGCAGCACCGCGGCCCTCGCCTGGGGCCGCCACCAGCACTACTGCACACGTAGGTGCCAGGGCAGAGGGGTGGCTTCGGGCGAGAAGGGGGTGGGTGGGGCAGCCCTGGACCTTTCTCTTCTCTGCGAAACTTCAACGGCCAGATTCACGGTTTTATTCTGAGAATCAAATGAGATTGTAGGTGCAGAAAATGCTCTTGCTGTTGGGCACTGTTGGGGTCAGAGGGTGATGGATCGTGCATACGTGTGCATAAGTGTGTGTGTGTGCCTGTGTGCATGTGTGCATGTGTGTGTGTGCACATGTGTAACTGGGCATGGCCCCTGAAGAGACCCTTCCACGGGGCCTCCAGGAGGGCAGAGCTTCATGCAGCCTACCCCAGTATAGATGTCCTAAGTGGCACTGTCAAATGCCCTGTCATCGTCATCAGCCTAAGTAGTGTACTATCTGTTCCTTTTTCCCCTTGATATTTTGTCTAAATAAATGCCTCACTTAAAAATATTTCAAAACCTCCTATAGGTTCCACAGCCTTAAGATCCTTATAATTTTAATACCCATTGCAATTTTAGAAATCCTTTCCCCAGGCATGGTGGCGCACACCTGTAATCCTAGCATTATGTGAGGCTGAGACAAGAGGATCACAAGCTTGAGCCCATCCTGAACACCTTAGCCACTTAGCAAGCTCCTGTTTCAAAATTTAAAAAAATTAAAATAGCTGAAGACAGCTCCAGTGCCAAGGTTCTGGGTTCAGTCCCCAGTACCACAAAGAAACAACAACAACAAAAAAACCCACCCTCCCCTCCTCCAGGAGGGTAACATGCCCTGTGCCCCAGTAGACTCACAGTCCCCCTGGCTGGACCCTAAGAAACAGAGGTGGAGAGGTGAGCAGCCCTTCTGTGTCCCATGGCAAGTAGCAGCTGAGCTGGGACTGAGGGTGGCTGGATGCTTCCAGAGGTGGCTGCTGCCCAGCTGCAAAGTGAGGAGCCTATGGGCTCCTCCCAGCACCACCGCCCCAGCCCCACATTGCCTTTATTCTTACGGTTTTGCTCATCAATAGTCTCGTCTCCTGCCGTGTGGCCATGGCACACCTCTTCCACCACGTCTACCCTTGGACCATCACACATTCACGAATGCATCACACACACTCATGCCTATACTCACGCACACACTCATGCATACACATACCTGCATCACACACTCATGCACACACTCAGCAGTGCACGCACCACCTTCTCAGATAGCCACAGGCTTCTCTAGCTCCAAGCAGAGACGTTAACCTCACTGCAGGGACTCGGACCAAAGCCCTTCCTGCTCTGGACCAGGCAGCAGAGCAGGGCGAAGGCAGGCAAGGGGGAAAGGGGACTGAAGGACTACTCACCTGCTCCATTACCGCTGGCTCTAGGCATGCGACCCCCGCCCCTGTTTCTCATGCTGGACAGACTGCACATGGTCAAGGAGGGTGCTAATCATCGTGCCAGAGCTGAGGGCATCTCCATCAGCCTGGACAACTCTAACAAAACATCATATTGTGGGTGGCTTAAAAAACAGATATTTTTCTCCCACTTCTGAATGCTGGGAAAACAAGATCAGGGTCCAGCACAGTCAGGTTCTGGGTTTGTGGACAGTCACCTTCTGGCTGGAATCTCACTCACACGGAGTGAGACTTCTCCCTCATCCTTTCCTACAAGGACACTAATCTCACCAAGGAGGCTCTGACTTCTCTGCATGAGGACCCAGCAAGAAAGTGACCATCTGCAAACCCAGAGCCTGACCATGCTGGCCTAGTCCCCTCCTCAAATGCCATCACACTGGGGACCAGGGCTCCAGCATGTGAATTTAAGGAGACACAGATACTCAGTCTAACCAGGGGACACAACCAAGCCAACTCCGAGCTAGGTGTGCAGGAGCAAGGGCTTGGGCAAGGGAAGTTGCAGGCTGCTCTTCTGTGGAACTGTGGAGTTCTGTCCTCTACCTGCCCCGGGCTCTCCTCTACACAGAGCTCAGACCATGGACATGGGGCTGGGTGGAGGACATACCCTGGGAAGGGCTTGTGAAGTCAGTCCCGGAAACCATGGCAAGGGAAGGCTGGATGAGGCTACAGGAGAGAAGGGGCCTGGGAGAGGGGACAGGAGGACATCCGGGCCACACCCAAGATGCTGCTGGGACCTGCCTCTTCCAGTGGCACCGAGATGGATCCCAGTCCCCAAGTAGAATTCTCGAGCTGTCTGGGGAGCAAGAGGTGAGGATGTGGTGAGTCTGGTCTTGGCCTCCCTCCTGTTACCCCCACCTCGGTCACTCGTTCTCTCTGTTCTCTGAGGAAGATGCTACAGACTCTACTGGGAGACTTTTGCCATCCATGATTGCTTTCTTATTTGTTTGTTTTTTTGTTTTTTTCTGGTACTGGGAATTGAACTCATGACGTCGCACTTGCCAGGCAGGTGCTGTGCCACTGAGCTAAATCCCCAGCCCTGCTTTTGTTCTTAGTGGTGTCCTCTGCAGCACGGCTGATCCGTCCTCTTGTGGGGAAACTGAGGCTCAGAGAAACCCTTAACTTGCCTGGGGCACCAAGAATCAGAGCTGGGCTTAGGGCTCCTCTGTGAGTCCACGAAGTCCACTGTTTCCCACTCGGTCAACTGATCTCCTCACAGCCTGCTCTTCCTCTCTGCCCCATGCAGGCAGCCAGCTGACGTGGAGCACGGCTATCCCCCTGGTGCTCTTCGTGTGGCTGTCTTCAGCCTTCTGGGCAGCGCTGCCCCTCCTGGGCTGGGGCCATTATGACTATGAGCCCCTGGGGACCTGCTGCACCTTGGACTACTCCAAGGGGGACAGGTAAGGCAGAGGGAGCAGCTTTGAGGCCCCTTCCATGCATTTTGTGGCTTTGAGTTCCCGGGCAACAAGGTTGCCCCTGCAGAAAACCCAACTGGGGAACTGTCCTCAACTTCGCCAGACAATCTCAACCCCTTGGTCACAGCATCCCCTTGCAGGCTGGTGGTGGCCTGGGGAAAGCCCCAGGACACTGCCCAAGCGACACCACTATTACTCAGGTGGGGCCCAGCGCTGAGCCCAAGAGGGCGGCAAGATACAGTGAGCCACTGGCCAGGGTGAGCTGTAACAGTCACTGTCTGCCTCCCTGGCCTCTGCAGCACGGTGAGCTCCACCTTCATTTCTAGAGTGGCTTCTAGAGTGATTCAGGCCATTAGTTCAACAGATTCAAAGAGCGTTGTCTTTGTGGAGGCTAAGGCACCTTTTCAGCATAGAGAAGAGTTCCAGGACGCTCCTGGCATCTACTGTGAGCCAATCCCTGAATGCATGATGGTCCCCACTACCGAGGAGACTGTGTTCTTGTGCTGCCCCATCCACGTGGTGCTAGGGAGGAGACGGGCTGGCAAACCCTTTTGGGGTTACCTCGGGAGAGGTCACATGCGCTCCAGTCCCCTCTCATCTCCACAAGAGCCACAATGCATTTATCTGTCACATGGCATTGACTCATGAAGCACCTGCCACCAGTGACAGGCGTCCCAGGTAAAGCCCACCAGAGAACCTGTCTCCCCTGAGTCTCTTTACAGCACAGCCGGGCTGGGGCCCAGTGCTCCCGGCAGTCCTCCCTTTACCTCTCTTGGTGGACAGCTCCAAGGTGACCCTGGATGGCCTTCCCTTCATGACATGGGCCCCCTCTGTCCCTGGTCAGCCCTCATGCCCTCCCATGACTGCTAAGATCCCAGCTCCTCCATGGTCCCTTCAGTGATGTCCTCTCCAGTCTGTGCCATCCACAGGCTCCTTACAAATCCCTGTACCTAGGCTTCCTCGAATGTTCCTTCCTCTTGATCCACTGGTGTCTCTACTGTCTCTTTGACATATTTCCCAAATGAGAGTGTCCTGTTCTGCAGGCTTAGGGGAACAAGCAGCTGAGCAGGGCTGAGCGCCTGAACTGCAGGGAGGCCTCCTGCTCATCTCAGCCCAGGCTCCTGAAGGAGAGTTCCAGGAGATCTCATAGCTCCTGGCTTTGGAGCAGAGTTCAGGTGGGACCAGGAGTGGCCACACTTGTCAGAGTGTCCGGTGCAGAGGCCAAGGGCTGACCCCGCTGCCCTACCCCCGCCTATAGGAACTTCATCAGCTTCCTCTTCACCATGGCCTTCTTCAACTTCCTCGTCCCCCTCTTCATCACCCTTACTTCCTCCCAGCTCATGGAGCAGCATTTGGCAAGGAGCAGCCACCTCCAGGTAAGGTTCTGGCTCCTGGGGCAGCACGAGTCCCTCAGGACACCCAGGAACACACACACGGTGACAGGCAGTTACCAGGTGCTTCTGGGTCTGCAGTGTCAGTTCAGCCTGTGGGGAATCTGGCACCTACAGTGGGAAGGCCACGGCCTGGGGACAGGGAGGAGGGTGGCCCAGATTGGCCCAGTTTTGGGAGCCCTGGGAGGCAGAGGTCCTCAAGAGGCTTGGTCCATGCTCTTACACTCAGCTTTTCCCAGGGCTTTGAGGCTTGGGACAAAATAATGGGCCCTCTAAATGTGACTTTTAAATTGCTTGGAGATGTTCAATTTAATCACAGTCACAGGCTGTTAACCACGACACAAAATCACAACTGTAAGCACATTTGTCCAAGAAAAAAGATGCTTCAGAATAAGCCCTCCTGGCTATTTCCAAACTTCTGCATTAATATGTCCCTGCTACAGTTTTCTTTTAACTCTATTACTTGGACAATTTAACAAATGGGGCCTAACAAGTAGCAAAAAAATTTTTATTTTATTTTATTTTAATTAATTAATTAATTTATTTATTTATTGTCTTTTTGACACAGGGTCTCATTATATAATTCAGGCTGGCCTTGAACTCACTTTGTAGCCCAGGCTGGCCTGAAACTCACAACAATCCTCCTGTCTCAGCCTCCCAAATGCTGGGATTACAGGTGTGTACCACCACGCCCAGCTGCAAAGATTTATTTTTAGAAAGCAGATTACTTTATGTGGGTTGTCATTTCATCTTTGTGACTGCTCTCAGAGGAAGGAAAGCTTTACAATCCCTGTGTCACAGACAGGACTGAGGCACAGGGAGCTCAGCCAAGTAACCGCTAAGAGCCACACACCTAGTAATAGCAGAGATGGGTCCAAACGCAGGCCAGGGCCTCCACAACCCAAAGGCAGTGCTCAATTATGGTACAAAAAAGGTACATTCTTTTATTAAGACCCTTAACCTACTACTTCATTATGCTTTTCTTATCAAGTAGAAACGCACTCTGCAAATTTATGTTAGCTGGTGACCCATGTTCCTCTGAGGTCACAGAGGGGAGCTGAGGGTCCCTTTTCCTGGCTCCTTGCTCACTGCTGGCGAAGGCTCCACCTCCCAGTTTGTCCCCTCTCTGTTCGCCCCTCCCCTGTCTAGATCCAAAGTTGCCACATTTATTGGAGCTTCAATCAGCCAGGACACAAGGTTGGACCCACGACTCCCCATTTTTTTTCCTGCTGCCTTTAAACTGTGATCTCTGGCATTAGTGGTCCTCTCCAACCATGGCCCCCGGGACTGCACCTCAAGCTGAGTGACTTCTGGAGGTGACATGGTCTCCCACCGAGGCCCCATTTCTCTCCAGGGATCTCTCAGTCAATGCAAAACACTTTTTTTAAAAATCAGAATGAGGGAATTCAAGAAAAATATATGCTCCAATCAAGGTATTTTAAAAATCCAACATCGAAGAGAAAAATGCCTTCTGACTTAAATTGTCTTCTTTGTTAAAGAGAGACATGTCAATGGAAAACTAGCAGTAGGGTTTTGTGTCAGAATTTTATTATCTCAGTGGGAGAGCAAGAACATGGCTACTCCATTCTGGAATTAGAGCGCAAGTCATGTTCCCCTTCCTGGCCGCGGGTGGTACTTTAGTATCACCCACTCCCAGGTGCTTCTCCTGCCTTAAGCCCTCATAGGTGGATCTCACCAAGTGGCTGCAGCCACAGACGGCTCTGGGCCTCAAGTCTCGGGGCAGCTTAGCCTCGGACCCTTGTGCACACAGTCACAGAGCCCAGGATTCCTCTTAAGGAACAAAGATCTGAAAGGAAGCTCATTATCACCTCACCCCACCCCTGTGCCAGTCTCCATGCAAGCCAGGTATCTCCAGGCCATTTTACAAACAAGGCAACAAATGCTCAGAGTCACATAACCTTACACGGCAGAGGCCGGTCAGGTCCCGAGTTCCTATGCAGCTTGGACGTGCTGAGCGCTGGCTAGCCTCCTTGCCTGTGAGGAGCCTCAGCCAGCCAAACTGATGTCACCTGTGGTGGGCACTGTCTCCCCAGGTGAACACTACTCAGCCAGCCAGGACCCTGATGCTCTGCTGGAGCCCCTATGCCCTCCTGTACCTCTACGCAGCCATCGCCGATGCAAGCTCCCTCTCCCCCAGGCTGCAGATGGTATGGCCAAGGCCAGAACTCTTCCAGGGTCATCTCTCTGGGTCACTCCATCTCTCCCTCTGGCTCCTTTTTCCTTTCCTCCTTTGAATACTCAGACTGCACAGAGAGTCTGTCCGCCTCCACTCCTGCCCTGGGCTACCACAGGTGGAGATGATAGGGAGAGACAGCCAGAGCGTGAACAACACGCATACTCTGTGACCAGGTGGAGATGTGCGTGTCTGGGCGGGAGTGTGCACGGTCACTAGGGAGTCCGAGACGGATCAGGGGCTGCAGAATGGAGCCGAGGATAAATGACTGTCAGCTGCAGGAAAAGAGGGTCTGGAGTCACTAGGTGGGATCAGGGACAGGAGCAGAAGCTTCAAAACATCATTCCTGGACTTTTCTGCCCCAATAGGTGCCTGCCCTCATTGCCAAAACAGTGCCCACAATCAACGCCATCAACTATGCCCTGGGCAGCGAAATGGGCAGCAAGGGCCCCTGGCAGTGCCTCTTGCCACAGAGGAGCAAGTGGGACCGAGCACAGTGAGCCCCCTAGAGCTGCTCCTCCCCCATGGAGCCGCAGCAGGAGGCTGCCTGACAGCCCAGAAGCCAAGCCCCAGACCTCGTCCCCCAGCTCCAGTTGAGCCTGGCCCAAGGCTGGGCACAGGGATTGAGACACACGCGCAGCTGTGTGAAAGGAGGCTCAGAGACCATGCGAAGGCCACTCTCCACCCCAAGCTAGCTGAATCCTAAGATATTAACATGGACTTTCAGACTCCAACAAGAGAACATGTTCACACCAAGCACCTAGGAAATGCTCCTGAAAACCAAGCTTTTGGTCTGAAACCTGGGCCATGCACTCCAGGGACCCAGAGTCTTACACAGAGAGGAGGAAATGCCCTAGGGTTCACTCGTGGGAGTGTGATCCCAGCCGCCAGCACTCCGAACGCTGCTTATTAAATCATGATCTGGCACCAGGGACTTAACTCTCTGGCCCTTCATCAGTGCCCTGGCCTGTGAGATGAGGTGACAGTATCATGACTTGACCAGAGCAGGACCAGCATGTTATGTGCTCTGTGAGGGTCAGATGCCATCACCCATCAGTCAAATCCACCTTCTGCTTGTGTGGGCTGGGCCTACACATTGCTGAGAAATGTTTTGGGATCAGTTGCCAAGCCTTGAAATCACAATTTATTTAAAACTTCAGATGTCAGAAGATGAGGCCCTGCCAGGCTGTCTTCCTCCACGGTGACAGTGTGCAGAGTTCACGGTGGCTCTGTCTTCCTGTGCCGTCTGCAGAGCCCGAGGCCTCTGGGGTTGACACTAATGCAGGGGCAGCCACCCCTGGACCCACTCAGGCAGTACTCAGGGATGAGGTGTGGCAGGTGCAGAGACCCCCTGCCCGGAGGAAATGGGAAGGACAGCCAGGGTATCGAAGGCCCAAGCCCCCTGCGGGTGTGAAGGAAGACAGGGAGCTGAGAGCAGGAACAGGCATTTTGGGGGCTGGGTGGGTGTGGGTGTGGCCGGACAAAGGAGGTCTAGGACTCCGAGGTCCCGGACCTGCCTCTAGGTCTGCAGATACAGGAAATTGGGGCACAGGTGAATAACTCCCAGGATGCCCTTCGGCAGGCAGCATCACGGTCAGCCCTGGAATGCAGGCAAGTGGGGCTCACACGGGCTGCACAGTGGCCAGGAAAGGCTCTGCGCTACCTTTATGGACAAACAAGCAAGCTGTCTCCAAAGGAAAGGACTGCCCCCTCCACGGACTTCCAGGAGACAGTTTCCTGGGGAGGGAGGAACGGGGCTGGTGTCTAACCATTAAGAAAGTAATATCAATTAGATAGAGTCTAAATTATACCCATATTTTCTCTTAAGGGCAAAGGGGATTCTAAAACTTTTCCACATATGGAAATAAATACATTCAGCAGCAAAGACGTGCCCTCATTTATTTTTATGGCTGTGAAATTGATAGGATTTCTGGTGTCTTTCTTGTTGGGGACATTGCGGGTTCATTTTGCTCAAACACGAGGTCACTGTTCTTCCTACCACGGAGCTTCGTTTCTTCAGTTTCCTTAGTGAAGAGCGTTAAGATCCATCCAGTCCTATCAGCTAAATTAAGAGCATCTGGCAGGCGATGCCCAGCGGGCGGTGAGGGCGGCGCCGAGCGCAGGTGGCGCCAGCAGGTGGCGGTGGCCCTGGCAGCGCTTCCCCACTCGCTCCGCGGGATTCCACCGGAGGAGGCCCGCGCTTCGGCACTGAAGCTCCAAGCCTCGCTGTTTCCGCCAGGGGCGATGCTGACCCCGCGTCTCTCCTGAAAGAGGCCGAGCTCCAGGTCCGGGAGCCAGCTGACGGCCGTGGCCTGGCGAGGACTCCGGTGTGCAGTGGAGACGCCGGTGGCCCTGGGTTCCCCCGGATTATTCCTCCGGATTATTCCTTTGCAAAGGGCTGGGGGCGCGCGGTGGTCCCGGGGTGGGGCTCGAGGGCGCCGGGCAGTGCTGGGGCCGCGTTTCCGAGACCGCGCGAGCTGGGGCTCCCTCCTGAAGGCCAAAGATGGAAGCCCCAAGCGCTCGGTGGCAGCAACTCGCTGCCCACGGACCCCTGCCCGGGGCCCGCTTCGCCCCCGCAGGCTGCGCTGCCCACTCTGCAGCTGCTGCCCCCTCTGTGCGAGGCGGAAGCCGCGCACAGCATTTAGGTTCTGCCGCCAGGAGGACCTGGGCACGCACCCAGGATTTGCCATGGCCTCGGCATGACAAAGAGTCTGGGTGACCGAGGTGTATCCGGCTCCTGAACTTCCCCAGCCCCACCTGTGCCTTCCCTTGTAAAGCCCAGTTGTAAGGGAGCGGGGGATGGCGGGGGCGACAACAGAAACCCTGTTAAAGCAGTTTGATAAAACCCCTGCCCTCTCTGGTTGAGTGTCTCGTCCTGCACCACCCCAGCCTGTCTGCAGCGTGCACAGGAGGAAACCGCTGGTCAGGCAGGAAAGGGAAAGCTCGCTCCTGACCCCTCCTGGCCGGGAGACTCTCAGGGATCAGAACCCGAGCCCGGAGTCAAGAGCAAAACTCACAAACAGAAAAGCGCGGGGCAGACCCGGCTCAGGAGTTCCGGCCTGGCTTACCAGGAGGGGAGAGGCCCTGAGCAACAGGACAGCAGGCTGGCTCTGGGCAGGGGGACTGGAGGGCATAGGGCGAGGGGGAAGGGCCAGTGAAAGACTTAGGAAATGACCAGAGCTGGTTGCCCTTTTAACTGATCCTGGGCCACTGTGTGATTCTGCTACACCAAATTGCCGGAAGTAGGCAGGAAGGTCCAGCCCAGAGCTGTGTACAACCGCCTCACACTGGGTGGTGAAATGTGAACAAGATTATGATACGGTTTTAGAAGCAGATACTGCATGACCAGCTAGTGGTTTGAATAATTTTTATCAGTTTGGATGCTTTTCATTTTAGGTAACAGAAAACCCCACACTGACTGTTTTCGAAAAATAAGGATGATTTTCAGACACCCAAATGCGGTGGAGTAGACTTAGGGCACTGTTTGGTCAGCACTTGCAGCTATGTCAGGAGTCTCAGTCCTACTCTTGCTCTACTTTCCTTTACCCTCCACGCTGACTTTGTTAGTGAATGGAAGATGAGTGCAGGATTGTGAAGTCAGTGAGTGCGCAGCGCAGCTGAGAGTTGGCTCCAGTTACGTGGGGGAGGAACAAGTATTATTTCCAACAACCATAAAACAAAAGCCTTGAGCTCGCATTCGAGTGGATGATCTCTGCACAAATCTCTGTTGGCAGAAAAAAATGGATCTGATAGTTGGTTTAATACCCCCACCAAACCTGAGTTACTGGCGGATTGATTGACTCAGATGGGGATTCCTAGAAATGCTTGGGTGAGGGAGAGAGTAAGACTTTCCTAATCTCATCAATTTCAGAGAACGACACTCACACAAAGAAAGCTGAAGATGATGAAGCTTAGAACAGTGTTTATTATATTAGTTTATTAGTACATGTTGACAGTCCTTTGTGGGGATTTGCTACATGTACGGAACATCTTAATTCCTTTCCCATCCCCTGCTCTCCTCCTCATCGCTCAATCCCCTTCTTTTTTTTTCCTGTGCATGTTTGCAGTACATAATGCTCACATGCCTCATGTGGAACTGGTGCATGAATACAACACATCCCAGTTCCTGTTTTTTCATGCCTTACCCCTCCTTCCAGTCTCTTGATCCCTTTCCCCTTTGAGGATGGTCTATCTCCCTACTTCCTATGGTCTGTCTTCTATTTTTTCTTTGTTTTTATTTTGAGTTTCTTGTATAAGAGAAGCAGATAATGACACTTTTAAGAAGAATCGTGTTCAGATTCTTGTCCCTCCCCCCCCGTTCATGGTCCTATAAGCGCCTACATGGACAACTGTGCAAACGCTTCCCGGAGCAGTTGGAAACCTAGGTGACCTGAAGACTTTCTTAATTTGCTTGGGCGAGTGAAGGCAGGAGTGTGGCCAGCCCTGTCCAAAATGCATATGTGCTATGTAGTGGGAGGAGCAGCAGGATGTTGAGAGGAAGAGTGCAGTTTCCACATATAAATCACAGGGGGTTTGCGGGCCTGGGAGCCAATCAGAATGGCAGGTACCTGGCACTGGAGGTGCTGTGTGCTAGACTGAGAAAGACAAACCGGGCTTGGAGAGAAGCAAATCAGATGCTTCTCACATATCTGGGTCTCTGAGTCCTGTTAGCATTTGGAAATATAAGCAGGAGATGTAGGGCACTGTCCTGGGCTGAGTCACCCATGTCACATAGTGTCCCCTAGGTATGGGACAAAGTGACAAGCTCCCAGCCACTCCGGCAGGTTTGTCTCTGAGCTGAGAAGCCCAGATAACCCTCTGACAAGAGGCCCAGGGCCACAGTTATCTAAACCAAAGAGGGCCATAAACACCAGCCTGCTGCCACTACAGCCACCAAGGAAGATCTGAATGAACACGTGAATTGGAGAAACTGTGAGAATTCCCCACACCTTTTGCTTTAGTGCTCTTCAGGAGACCCAAAGGAGAGAAACCGCAAGGGGATCCAGAGCCCCCATTTTCAGGGGGAAAAGCTGACGTCTGCAGGAGTCAAGTAGTACTCAGTTCACATCACAGCCCGAGCTTGCAATCCACCCTCTGGGTCCTAAATCTGGTCCCCAAGCCCTGCAAACCCAAACATCTGTGGCCAGAGATCCCACCTTAGAGACAAGGTAGTGATAAACAAGGATGTCCCATGACTCAGGTCAGTGCATGTGAAGAGGTCACATCAGGTGCTGTGTGGGAGGCGGCCTGGAAGGAGGTGGCAGGTGAGGCGGGAAGAACGCTGGACTCCAGTCACACCGGATGTGCAGTCCCAGCGTGACTGCGCCCTTTCTGGGAGACTGCATGAGTGAGATACTTGTTCTGGGCTGCACTTTCTTTCTTTTAATAGCTGGTTAAATCAGGTCAGTTGTTTGCAAACTTAAAAAAAAAACCCTGAAACATTCTGTTTGAGAAAAACCTTCCAGGAAATATAAATAAACCTGAGAGGTCTTAGGATCAATTTCCCTAAGAAATGTTTAGGGTAGAGCAAGATGATAGGCTTCCTTCTCCAGGCCCCATCCTAGAAGGCCTCGGGGCCTCTCTGCTTTGTGTTCTAAGGATCTGTAGGTTGCTTCCCTTTCCCAGAAGTCCTGGGATTGCTTACCTTTCCCAGCTCTAGTGCCCCACCTGCTCCAGAAGAGCTGTCTCAGTCCCTCTCTGCACCAAGGGAGCAGGCATTCTCCTGCAAAACTCCATCAGTGTGGGCCCCTGGGTGAGGCACTCGGGGCCGCCTGCCTGCGCTTCAGAGGGGCCCTCTAGGAGGCTGTTGCTCCTCAGGTAGCTGTGGACACTACGGCTCACCAGTGTGTTGGCAAGTGTGTTTTCCACATGCTGGCTCAAGTTAAACAGGAAGTGATTAAAAGAACTCTGTAAAGCTAGAAAAGGTCAAGAATAAATACTCATAATTATGGGGGGAAAAGAAAGAAAGAATAGAAATAAAGCTTTTATAAATAAGGACAAGAACAAGGGCTGAAGGGAGGGTAAAGGAAAGGGGGAAAAAAGAATCAAGTTATGTCACATACAGTAACAGGTTCCCTATAATGAATGTGATCATTATGTACATCTAAAATGTACCAATAAACGTAATTAATTAAAAATATGAGGGACCAGTGCCTGATGCTTCGTTATGGGCTTTACCGGTGTCATGCTTTAGACAATACTAGGGTCACGATATCTGGATCTCAAGTTTTATTATCTGCATTGCCTATATGAGAAAACCAAGGCTCTGAATGATTATAAAAACTGATTTAAGAAACCCTCTTAATAAATGATACCAAGCTGGGCGTGGTGGTGCACACCTGTAATCCCACCACTCAGGAGGCTGAAGCAGGAGGAATGCTGCAAGTTTGAGGGCAGCCTGAACTACAGAGGGAGACCCTGTCTCAAAAAGTAAAAACTAAGTAAATAAACAACACCATAAGGATAAAATCCCCCTCATCATCCAGGTACAGATGCAAGAATAGTTTCTCTAGCACTCTCTAGAATTAAGAAGAAACCCTATGACAACCCAAAATAACACTGACTTCTAATCAACAGTTATCTTCTCTGGGGGGTTCAATAAACTCATGCCTTCAACAGCCTGCTATTCTTCTTGAAGCACAAGGTAAAGAGGTCAGCGAGACAGCACAGTCTGCTCTCTGTAGGAGGTCACAACCTAGTATGAAAGTGTAGCAGACTGTACACTGTCACCTGTGAAAATACTGGAACAGAAGTTAATTCAAATTTCCATGGAGTCAGCAGAGATGATGGATAGAGACCTCT